CTGCTGAAGTACTGTCCCTTCGCCGGCTTCCCTCCAAAAGGCTACTTCGGAGTTCTTCAATAAATTCGGAAAACGAATCTTGGACGAGAAGAGAGCAAACCTCGATCAAACGATCAAGAACGGCACCGCAGACATTCTGGACAATTTGCTGATCGCTCAGAGAGAAGATCCAAGCTCTATAATTACTGATGATGTTCTCACCTCCCAGGCATTCATTTTTTATCTGGGAGGGGTCGACACGACGGTCGTTACTCTTGAAATGACAACTTTTTTCATGACGATCCATCCGGAAGTTCAGGATAAGGTCGTGGAGGAAATCGAGCAAGTCATGGGGGACCGGGACCATGTCGATTATGACGATGTCCAGAAGATGAAATACCTGGACGCCACCATCCAAGAGTCGTTGAGATTCTATCCCTTCTCGTTTTTCATAGACCGAATTTGCAACAGAGATACGACTGTTGCGGGAGTGCCGATAAAGACAGGAACCATCGTCGAAGTGCCGATTCGCTCTATGCACTTCGACCCGGAGCTCTTTCCAGAACCGGAGGAATTCATGCCGGAACGTTTCCTGAAAGGAACCTCGCAAGATGCAGCTGTCCAAGGAATCTTGACTTTCGGAGAAGGTCCCAAGAACTGCGTCGGAAGACGGCTAGCAACTATGAACGTGCAGGTTCTGTTGGCGAACATGCTGAGAAAAGTTAAACTTGAAGCTTGTGAGGCGACTCCGAAATCCCTTAAGCTCAAGGGAGGGATGAACTTTACGAACGTCTCCGAAGAGCCTTTAGTTCTGAGAGTGACTCCTCGGATAGGAGACTCCGATAGAAAGTCCTCCCTTCCGGACGTCTGACCGGAGCACCTACCCCTTTTGACACGCCAACATTTTTTACTCAACGCAGATCGTGCGAGCTTCGGGGAAACGAGCCCGACAAATCAGTGCGCCCATGTGTTGTACAGTCGGGGCAGGAATCTCCAACCAATAAAGTTTTTGAAAATTGAGAGACTGGAATTTTTCTCTGTTAGATATTCTGGAACCGGAAACAATTACGTCATGTTCAATCTATATTCGACAGATGGCTGCAAGTTCGCGCAGCTCTCCGAGCGCAGTGAGTCCGACGAACTATCCGAAGCCGTTCGGGTAGTGGAGTTCTCGACGCGTATTCCACGTCGCTCTGCCGCAGCGTTCCCCGTCGAAATTTTCCCGCAGTTAACACCGCGGAGCCTAGAAGCGTCAACCTTACACGGCTGTGTTTTGCCGCTCCTCGCAGATCTTCCTCGTTTGACAGCCGCTCTCGTGCTCCGCGGTCACCACCGACTGGAGCCGCTTTACGTTGAACCAAGTTGGCGGCGGTCGGCGCCGATGTTGTTTATTCTCTGCTTTCCTTCTCAGCTGCTAGAGCCGACGGCTCCGTCCGGCGAGCGAGCGTCTGTGTTTTGATCGCTGTCGTCGTAGCCGCTTTCAACTGAGGTTTTCGACGCGGTGCATGGGTTTATCCGCGCTGTAAAAACTCGAGCTTCCCGTGAGTTCCTAATGCTGACACATCCGCATCAAAAACAATACCAGGAGCTACGTTCGGACCTGGAGCATTGCAGAGACCACCTCTTGGATGGGACCACCTGAGACATCCGTCCGAGCTCGAGCAACGATCGTCCCAAAGCCATTAATTCCCATATATGTATCTCGGACGCTCATTTAGACCAGCTGGATGTCAAGACCGAATTATCATTTGCAGTGCCGACGACCCCGCTACCTGGGAGAGTAAAATGCATGATAGACAAAACCCTATAGATCGCTATCTATTGAACGTTTCTTCATCCATAACGAACCATGTGTGATCAAGGAAATACAGACGAGTCTACCCAGACTCGTGCTCTTGAAAATCCGAGCTCAATAATCGAAAGTCGAAGTTCAAATCCCCCTGCGCAGTAATAAATTACAGGTGAAATAATGATCCTATGTATGAGACTACTACGTCCCTCGGTGTGAACAAACTGACGTCAAGAAGTATCCTCTCAGTTTCCTGTATGTCTCCATAGGAAGACGGGGAACAAGGTCACAAAATGAGGGCCCTAGGATTACCTGAAACATCAGAACGCATTTCAGATTGCCCACAGATGGTCTTGATCGATAGCTTTCACTGTTCATTGCGAAAGCTGAAAGACCTATCAACGACGCAGCGGACGAGACTGCATTGAGAGACGTCTGAGTCCATACACGGCGCAATCGGCGAGTTTGGAGCGGTTCTTCGCGGAGATGTCTTCACGAGGGAATCACTCGACCTTTATGGTATAGGCTCTGCCGAAAGGGGTAAAATCGACCTACTGCAAGCTCGAGGTTCCGTCGGAGACTCATACAAAGAATACCCCAGTCTGTCTCCAGGTGGGGGATAGATGGCGAGTGGCTGTCCTTAGAAAAATGTTTATGGCTCCTATGAGTTTTGCAGCTCCTTCGAAACCGGGGCTCAAATCTGCGAATGCGGTTTTCTGAGATTTTCTGGGAAGGTTAGCCTCATCGATTGTCCGAGCGGCATAGTATCGTTTTCCCAGAGTCACCTCCCATCTCCCGTCGAACTCCCGTGGTTTCCGTGCCCAACATGCTCCTTCTGAAAAATCCGGAGCTCGCTGAGCGGGACCTCCAGAGCGAGCCCATGGCGTGGTATTTCTCATACCCGAATCAAAGTCATCTACTATCTACCTGAGTCCTCATCGGTGCCGCGCTGTCGATAGATCAAGCGCTTATCCAAGCGACGGATAGCTTCCGGAACTGGACATCTTTTGTTCCTCCGAAGAGATTCGGAGACACGCTCAGAGGGACTCGGGTGGTGCTCTGCATTGCCGCGAGATCCCTCCATCATCAGAGAAACATTCATGCAAGAGTCGGCTGAGTTGAGAACTCTAATTCGGCTCTCGAGAGGGAGAGCTCTCCCGTTATGCCCGAAAACTAGGTGATTCTCAATTCCAAGAGGTGTGAATTGAGGGGCTTGAAGCATCCGATTTCCGGATGTCCGGGTTCCGGCCTCGAATTCTTTGAGAGGTGATCACTTATTCTTCAGGGCCTGGAAATTCTCAAGCGACCGTTATCCTTCCCTTCTTCGAACAGTTTGCCCGACTCCTGCCATCGAGAAGTCCACTCACATCGGATAGTCCCGCAGATTTCAGCGACGTCCTCGTAGGAAGCGCAAGAGGCCGAAAATTGAAATAAATCTGTTCGCTTTTCAGTGATATCGACTGTCCGCGAGGGAATGCGTCGAGAACCCGGGCCGTGAGCCTAGCCGGTCGGAACTCCCCGGCCGTTTCTCAACGTGATTATTCACAACATTCCAAAGAGCGTATCGATTCATGGATAGATTCGAAGCTTGAGGACGGCGTCCGCTGCAGTCTTGGCTGACCAAGAGAATCCAGGGACACCTTCCTATGGCCAGTAGCTCACCCAGGGGGGTCCCAGGGGTGCATGGACCCGCCGAAATCTTCATCCGTAATGCTCAAGTATGCGAGCGGGTAGCCATTTTGGACCCTTGGACCCCCCCCACCCAATATCGGTTTCGCCCCCCCCCCCCGAAAAAATTGCTTGGTAGGCTCCTGCCTGTGGCCGCGTGCGTGGAGCATTCCCGTACCAACTGACGCCGAGGTTCTTCGTCATGTTTGTCAATCGCTGATGCCATAGTCATACTACTCACTCAATTTCCGTTTCCGTGTGCGGCAGTCGGAGTGAGTCATTTCTCGTGACGGAAAACGTGGAGGGCGACTCCCTGGTGACACAACCAGAGTCATCACCGAATCTTTATCGCCGATCCAGGTTGGACCGCTCCAGTTCGAACGCCGTGGGCGTTCGCGAGTGCTCTTTGACAGGGAGCACCCGCGAACGAATCATTCCTAGAAAAGTTTAGCTTCTTCGGAATCATGGTGCAAGATCGGGAGAGTGCTGCCTCAGGATCTCGCCGAGAATTTCTTGAAGTCCAAATGTTATTTGGAGCCTTAGCAGACTACAGTTGTCCGTCCCGTGCCGGCGAACTCACCCGACCAAGGGTGCGGAGAAAGAGCGAGGCTCCACTCCGTGCAACAGAAGCTCTTCCCATTCCGCTCTTCGCGACCTTCAAATTTCGTTGTAGAAACATCTTCTCCCAGAATCACATCCCCCCAGAGAACGCTGTGCTCAATTGTGGGCCGTAAGGCGCGCTTACTCAGGTGATTGTTCGTCGAGAAACAAAGTTAAGCAACGCTTGCAGCGATCGCGACAGCAGAAGAATCTCTCCCCGAAGTGATTCCTCTGATGGTTCCAGTGATCGCGTCGACTTGGCCACCACTAGTGGCGGGGAGAAGCACCGGTGTCCGATTACGAAACCGACGCCTCAAGAAATAGCAAATCCCAAATGACGTCTCACACCTGTTCTTTACTGAATTCCGCCTCTGCGATCTTGTACCTTGATCGCGTCGATCATCTGCCTCAGAACAACTTTCGGAAGAGGGGGTAGTGCAAGGAGAGTGACGACCCTGTCTACCACGACGTGCTCGCTGCGGAAACCACCGTTTCCGGAAAGGTTCCTTCATTGCTCTCTTGGTTCACTCACACAGCAGACGAGTGATCGAAGTCCCCTGTGAAGGGCGAAGCGCTGCCCTCAGCTCCGCCAATCATCGGAGCTTCGGAAGTCCGGATGGGCTGTGTGATTTCGCACGATCGCATCTATCTAATTCATCCGATTCATGGCGACCATGTGTGAATATGAAAGGTCGACTGTGACCTCCCTGGAGCGACAATGCTCGGGTGTGAATATAAAGCTGATAGGGATTACGAGGATCAGCACATTCGCTTGCGTCATCTGAACCAGGGGTTCATTGTTGGAAAAGCTCCACGCAGAGGCTTGCCACGAACGGATGAGAGCGCTACCCTAAAGATATGAAGAGCCTGAGCTTTCCGCAAATTCAAGCTCAGGAGTTCGCAAATCAGGGTCGCAGACTGTTCGACTCGATCTGATGGGGCAGTCTCGGCGCTATCGACAGCGTTCGTCGAATTCTATTCTCTTGTTCGGACGGCGTCGCTTCAGACAAATCGATCACCACGCAATGGAGCGCATCCACGGGCCCAGAAAGTGAACCAGAATTGAGAGGCAGCAGCGTGCAGCGTGTTCCTCGGTCGAGACTTCGCTTGAGTTTCCAAGGGAGCGGTTCTGGCTTTCCAGAAGAACGTATTCTGCGGCGTTTTCGCTCTTTTCTTTCGCGTTCCGGGTCGCTTCCGGTGCTACTTGTAACCCTCTCTTATGGCGATAGTTGTAGTGGTCGCCGCACTTTTCGGGAGTGACTGAGTGAGACTGGTTCTGTGTTTGTGTGTCGTTGTGGCTCGATTTTGGCTATCCGCGCGAAGCTTGCCGAGTTCTCGCCGTGTTTCCTGATACTCGTGGATCCGCGACGCACATCACGCCCCGTGCGCGGAGTCGAACAATTCTCCAGAGAGACTACGGACTCGGGATTCGCTCTGCGCCGCGCCGCAGGGGAGGCCGATGGCGTGAGCGCACCTTTGAAAAGTGACCAGAGTTCCATCGAGCCGAGTGCGTCGTTGAGCCCCGATATTCTCCCAGAATGAGCTGTTTCCCACTCGCGATTCTTCTACATCTGATAGTTCTCGGAGGTGATGACTCAGTGTCATTATGACGAATACGGGTAGAGTACGGGCGGGGAGATTGTAGTATCGGCGAAATACCTAGTTTTTGATCGAGCTATCTCGCAATGGAGCGTTGTGGAACATGGCGATTCTTGGAACGAGGGACTTGTTTCTTCGCACTGCGTATATCACCCCGATGGAATCGCGAGAGATTCGAGTGACTCACCCAGAAGCCCGTCGGAAAACTCCACTCGGTCAGTGAGCTCCGTCACTGACTGACTCGAATCCAAAAATCGTCGCAAAGTATTCGGTATTCGTACGACGTTTACTTCGAGACGATTCGATTCCGACGCCGATTCGGGGTCTCGATAGAGCGCGAAATCTGATCGTCAGGATCGCAAGCAAGCCCTCAGGGACCAGGCTCATGGAATTTTTTTTCGCGATGCCCACAGATGCTTGGGGAAGACCCTCGCTCTCGGTCGTCATCTCGGCCGGTCAGCCCCGAGACAAAAACTCCAGAGTTCGCGAGGTCGCGGTCGTCGTGCACGGTCTCACGGATTCAGAGAAAAGAGACGGAATTCTCTTCGTCTACGAGGATATGAGACGCACAAAGGAACTCGCTAGGCTGCCCCTGCGAGAATCCATCGCTGAAGAGAATCTCGGTTCGATCAAAGTTCCGACGGGCCTCAAATTTGATCCAGTAAGATATTTCTGATCTCGATTATCGATAGCAGGAACGGACCCCCTCATCAGCTGGAATTCTCTCCTTGCAGACCTGGTGGCGACCTGACAGCTTCCCGACGGGCAACATCACCTATTACAGCAATATTAGGGTTCTGAACAGAGTTGTCGTCGAAGGTTGCCTGAGAGTACAGCCGCGTTGGATGGAAGAGCTCCTGCCGGAGATTCGGAGGCTCGCGTTGTTCGACATGGCCATACCTTCCACCCACCAATCCGGTGCTTACAAAATATTCAAAGGTCAAAATATCGTAAACCGCTACCGGGACTGCCAGGAAGAAGACGTTTTCACGCAATTGCTCTACGGGATCCGAGCTCTAGACTTACGGCCGGCAGCAACAAAAAACGGTAATTGCTTCATCGCAGGGGCCAACTTCCGGGATGAGCTCCACAAAACGGCGTCGAATATTCGGCGTAGGGGGCGAGCGAAACCAATAATCTCATGCCATCGACCTTCGATTTCCCCTGCAGCGAGTTCCGCATACGAGGGATTCGACTACTGGATTTACCACCATCGTTTCCCCACGAAAAATAGCGTCAAGTCTATTCTCGAGGATGTCAGGAGTTTCTTGGACCTGTTCCCAAATGAGGTCGTTTTCGTGGATTTCCATGAGTTCCCCTCGGGCTTCAAGAACTCTTCATCCTTCAGGGGCCTGGAGAAACTTGTAGTTGAGGTTCTAGGTGGGTTTCTAAGGGAATTCCCCGTCCGTATCTTGTGTTCTCGTCCCGTCCTCGGACTCTATAAAGCTGCTCGCTTCTTGCAGGTCATCATATCTACACGAAGGACCGGACATATCCAGCGTTCGCTACGTTAGAAAATGTCGTCCAAGGAGGGAAACGGGCGATCGTGACCTTCGAACGGAACGATGATCTCAAGGATCGATACTACTCAGGAATTCGACACATCTGGGGCAACACGGACAAACTGGATAAGCTCAAGGTGCGCACTTTCTCCGCATGAAGTGGACAGCCAAGTCACTCCCAGAATGGCGAATACGTTTCGATCATCCTGGGGTCCGATCCCTGACATCAGATGCTCTTTTCGGGTCCGTCGACGACATCTGTGGGCCTTGGCATTGGAGTGTTGTCTCACAGAAACATCGATTTCCTCTCTCCAGCGGATAATCACGGATCGTCAGATCCAGTGGAAGCACCAGAGATGGTTCTTCAACGCAATGGCTCAGACAACGGCGCAGGGCGCGTGGTCCGTCATATCGGACAAGTATCGTGGGGGCGTCCGAGGCATTGCCCACCGAGACAACTTTGACATCTCGACCTGGTTCAGACACGACAGGGACGCACGGACTTACTCGAACTTCATCGCAGTAGACTACTTCCTGAGCACCGACATCGTCGATCTGTGTAAAGATATTAACTTAGAGAGAGCGCACACTTGATCGGAATGGCGAATTTGAAGCGACTCCGAGTGAATAAACTTCAGATCTCGTATTTATTCGACGGAGGCATCTCATCCTGTATGATGCTATGCGAGATATGGAGAAACTTCGCAGGGGAATATATCGGAAAAATGTTTCTATTGCAACTTCTGTCCAGCTTTCTCGAATAACGACTTGAAATCAGCTGGGACTCTTGGCTCCTTTGCCGTGCGGCATCACAAAAATGTAGGCTGGCAGCATCTCGTCGACGATTGAATCCAGATCCACAGGTGTGGTTTCCGGATCGAGTTGCAGATGAAGTTTCGGCAGAGCCACGTATCCAGCCACTAGCGGATAGAGGTTGTATTGCAAGAACTCTTTTTTCCCCGGCGGGATCCGGAGCGACAGCTGTGGAGAAATCAAGGCATCCAATGGAATGATGATTATCCACCGGAACTCCACTTGTTCGGAAAATCGTCTGATTGAGGATTCCGACAGCTAAGTACCTGTTTGCTGCCGGAGAACATGAAAGCCTCGGAAGAGTTCATCTGCAGGTTAATTTCCTGGATTCGGTCGCTTCGATTCAACAATGAATACTGCACCGGCAGAGGCGTGCGGACTCGCGCATGAGGTGGAGTTCGAAGGTTGAGCGATATCGGGCACGTCAAAACGATAGGAGATGGAAGAATGAAACGCCCTTCGTTCCAATGTTGGTAGGTCTCCCTTGAAACGGTCAAGAACAATGAGGAGGGGAAGCTCGTCCAAGAAACATGTGGCGGATTCTTCCTTATTTCCCACTCACGACGTGATTGCTCATAGCAGGATAGGCACTCAGGCCTCCACACACCTTTTCCATTTGTAACGGAAAACTCCGAGTGAGGTAACTTCGGTTTCCGTCGGGTTGTCCGCTTGCAGGAAATAGCAATCTCGCGCTGTTTCTCCTTTCAGGAGCTGGACTCCTAAAACTTGAGAGGAGCCTGGAAGGGAATCGACGTGGTTCGCTGGGTTCGGATCATATTCGAGAACTCCGTACCCTCGCTGAGGAGGGCGATTCCTGCTCAAGGTCAGAGTTCCGACAAGGCTCGTCACATGACTGCCGGTACTCACAGTTTCCAATGGACTTGACGTTCGAACCCAACTCTACGGCACACTCCCCAAGTTCTAGACCATGTCCACATTCGGAACGGCTAGAAATATCCACCGCCAGGATGAATGGTTCGCCCGCGCGGATCTTACTGATCGGCTCGAACTGGAATCGAAGCGATGAATGTCATTTACCTCTCCCGGGGAGCTGCCCAGCCCGCAAACTCAGGCTCCGACCCGGAATAGGAACTCTGGAAACGCATCCGTCCCACGCTTACTTTTCTACTCAGGAGGAAGCCTCCCAAATCGAAGGCTCTCTCCACGCTCAGTTTCATGACGTCGTGTCGGTGACACTTGCACAGGACGTTCTTTCCTTCGGATTCTACATTTAGAGAGGTTTCATAGTAAATCGTCAAGTCGACGTCTTTCGTTCCGACCTCCGTCGAGCGGACCAAGACGCTGACGGATTGACTAGAGCCCGACCGGATCGGGGGAATGTCTACGGTGAGAGACGGCCGATCCGCTGCGAGATTCGGATCGAGAGTGAAGTTTGTTCCCGCTGATGTCGTGGTTATAGTCGCCTGGACGTTGCCGATGTCTCCGGACTCATTGTTGGTCAATTCAATTTTCAGCGGTAGCAGTTCCTCGCAGAGCGCGGGGCCTTCTAGAGACCATTTCAGGCTCATGCGAGCGGGGCGATGCGCGATGCTGCGGGGAAAAAAGTTCCTCTCGGTGAGTTCTGCAGGAAGATCCCTCTCCTGGATATACGGAGCTGATCTGACGACGACACGCGTTCGAAAACTCACGTGGCAGAGAGCCGATGAGGCAACTCCATGAAGCTCGATTCCCGTTCGGTCTTCTTCTGAGGGATCGGATCCCAAGCCAGTTTGAAGAACTGTGTACCTAAGGACGCTGCCGACCATTTCAACATCACCAGCGGCTTCGGGGCCGTTCCCGACCAGTTTTGATTGCCTAAAATCATTGAGACGCCGACGACCTGCGAGAAATGGATAATCATAGTCAGGGCTGGGAAGTTGACGCGATCGCGCCAAAAGCCGTGAATTTTCACGGTATTTTCAGGCGATCCTCCATAGGAAGTCAATGGGGGGTGAAAATTGCCGTGAATTTTCGGGAAAAATGCCGTGAATTATTCCCAGCCTTAATCATAGTCATAAGTGCTCATATTGAAGCATAATCCGATATTTCTCAGAGCGAGCCTCCTCCCGGGTCGGAGCCCTCGAGGAATTTCGTGCAAGGTCTTACCTTGATCTGACCTCCGACATGCTGTTGATTAGCCGGGAAAGTGAAGTTGAATGTGTGCGTCCTGCCCGCGACTAGTCCCAGAACTCTGGGATCTGTCACAGCGCACTGACTGTCGTACACCTGCGAGGGAAGTTTATCGGTGACAAGCCCAGCATCGAATCGCGCTTCTCCATCGCTGAACTCTTCAGATCGACTTACATTGTGGTTGAAATGCACGCTAAAGTTGGAGACGAAATTGATATCCAGGTTCAATTCTGATCGAACGTACACGAGGAGCTGGATAGTTTCGTCCGAGGAGTACGTCGGAGACTTGAAATACGCTTTGCAATGTATGCAGGAGCGTAGCTGGGAAGGAAAAGAGATGGATTCGATGCGACTTGCCCGCACGGGAGTCCCTCGAGAAATTGTACGGAATTGATTCGTATAGGATACCTGATCGATTGACTAATTGTTCGAATATCTTCTCGAATCTTTACCTTGTCCATATCGAGAACGACCGGGCAATCAGGTTTCAGGGCCGTCTGCAATTTGTCGGTCCACAGAGAACTCTTGTCTTCTAAGTCGGCGAAGGGCTTCGTCGGAATCTGGCCGTCGAGAATCCGCGCAACATCGTTCAGGAGAGAATCCCGGAGTTCACGGGAACAATCAGTCCCTGGAAAGGATCGTCGTGAGATGAATAACGGGATACCTAGAATTTTTCAGGGGCTCCGCAGGAATCCTCGTCTCAGGAGTTCCAAGATACATTGCGTAAGACGGTGACTCACACGCGGACATGTACTCGATAGCCAAGGTGAGATAATGCACCGGATTAGCCGCTAGGTAAGCCGCCCGGAGAGCCGTCGCTAAGATTTCTGTCAGGAGGGATGGCCAGCGTTCCTGCCGATAGTCCAGTAGAACATGCATCAGGATAGACAGTGCCTTGTCATGTTCTGAGTTCGCGATGTATTCTTCGGCCAACAGAACCACTGCAAAAATAACGATCGGCTCGTGAGGTTCGCGCTTCCGCCAACATGATTCCGTCCTCGATTCCGGAATAACATTATCCGGTGGAGGCGAGCGCGATCGCGACGGCACTCACTCTGGCGACGCTTGTGCCTCGGTCCTCTGTATTTTTTGAACTGGGACACCGCACCACTCAAGAGGGGGATGATGATGTTCTGCATAAAGGAAAACTCTGTTAGGTCCTGGGGTGAGATGAGATACAAAGGGAAAAAGAACGCGTGTTGTCTACTCGATGACCCGGTAGGAAGTGAAGTCGTCGCAACGATATTTATCGTAAAGATAAATATTCAAACTCGGCGCGCTCTGACCGACAGGCGCCACTAGGTCCCAGCAAACTCCATCAGGTTTTAAGAACCTTATATTTGGCTCGGCAACTCCAGAGACTTCGATTTCGCTTAGTGAACCTACAGACTGATTGGTGTGTTTCTCGTGATACTGCAACGCTTTGATTGCGATTTCCTCCAATTGTGGGTCCGGAGCTTCTCCCTTAGCGACAGCCGCCCGCCACGGCCTTTGTCCGTAATATGGTACGCTTCCTGCATCGATGAGGGGATCGGGTTCCGGGATGTCTGGGGCGTCCTGCCGTCGGGAGAATAATGTCACTGACCGAGTTCGATTCCACCGAATGATTGACGAAGCAGCATCCCGAAGGAGGGCGACTCGGAAGGGAAAAACTCGCCTGGCAAAGCTGCTGAGCCGCTTTTTTCCGGAGAAGTGCATGCTGAGCGGCCGACAAGTAGTAGAAACCGGGATGTTGCGTTTGAATTGGCACCAGGCCCCGTCGAACAGCGAGGTCGAATAGGTCCCCGAAGAGAGAATTCTGCCTGCCTGGGAAAAAATCGGTCAGTCAGTCCGAAGGTAGCGTGTGAAGGAATCACCAAGGGAAAATATCGGTCTCGAGGCTCAAGAGTTTCTTATGTGATCCTAACACGCAAAGAGATTGAGACTGACTCAGCCATGCGTAGTGTTCGAAAGCGAGTGCGGCAGGTCCGACCGAGGTCTTGAAGTTCTCAATGTGACGCCGAAGCTGATGGATAGCATCGAGGGGCGAGTTCTGCTCAAATAGGAGCTGGCATATCTGGAAAAACGCAATCGATGCTATGAGCATCGTATGAAGAAGCTCCCTACGCAACTCCTGGAGTTCTCTATCAAACGAGACTGACCTTGTAATTAATTATTCCCGCGACCGTTTTCACTTCAAGTAAATTCGGATCGGTCGCCCGAAGCTCGGCGAGGAAGGTATATGCCTGTTTATAGTGCCTGAAGGAGAAGCAGATTGAGTGTCTCTACATAGAGCTCCTCAAGTCGACTTTCCCACGGGGAACGAGATCGGGCAGCGTAGCTTTCGATTCGTGCTCCATGGATCTGTACACCTCGTCTCGGAAACTCCCAACTGATTTCGGAGAACTCACTTTCCCGCCGCAGTTAGATCTTGTTTTAATTCCTGGAAGGTTCCCATCTTGAAATGATGCCTGATGAAAAGTAACTGATGCGAGCCTTTGGTCAACAGTTGGTTCTGAGCCGAGAGTCTCCTGTACTCTCCCGAGTAGTAAGATTTCGCCATATCCATTATAGCTGTCTCGAGCCTGAAATGATCGCTTGCTTAGAGTTACCGTTCGGATACCAATCATCTACGCAGCATGATGAGACAGCGCAGATCTTTTGAACGCTCGTCATTCAGTCAGTGCCCACAAACCTCATGACGAAGCCAAGGAGATGTTCGGTGTATTGAAGAACGAAGAGGGATTTCAGCGGTATCTCGCAGGCCTGAGTCAAATCATGAGCTCTCTCTGCAGCCAGTTTGTTGTCGTTCACCGGCGAGCTGGCCCTTCGCTGGACCAAAACTAGACATAATCTGCTGTCTCTGGAATATAGATATCATTCTTATTATCGGTTGCTCTCCGAGTTCATGTGAATATTTTCGAGCTCCCGCACTCATACTCGGTTCAGAACGAGGATCCACTCTGTCAGACGAACCTGCCGGAAAGATTCTTCTTGAACTGCAAGAGCTCCCGGGCGCACTGATCCTTGAGCGTTGTGAAATCACCTTCATCCCAGTCAAGATCGAAGAAATACACCCCGACGGCAGGAATAAGCTTCGTGTGCTTGTGGAGCCAGTTCGATTTGAGAATTCCTCGCTCTACGTAGGCTTCATAAGATGTCCGCTAGAGAAAAATTCAATTGGATTTCAATGATGTCCCGGAGAGGATACGAAGTCTCACTGAACCAAGCTAGGGGATGAGCTCGTGGGTGGGTGTGGGTACTCACCTTTGTCTTCGCTTGAGGGAAAACGTGGCTCAAGTCGTAGTTGGTGAATCGCAGGAACTCGCGCTCAGAGCCCCGCGATTCAGTAAAAGCTTCCCATACTGTCTGATGTTCTGGTTTACCGAGATCCAGACCGCAGAAAGCCACATTCGCACGGGGTCGAGTCGTCAGCTCCACAGGAACACTCCCGACGTCCATCGCTGGCCGCGGTTGGAGCTACCCCTGAATCAGAGAGGGAGCCTTCCCTCCGGGAACGTCTCGTCCGAAATTTACGATGGGAGCCGCTGCTGCCCCAGGAATGAAGTCACAGTGAACCGTGATGAGGAGATCCTACTCTCGAAGAAGCAGGAATTACACAGGGATAAGTCACATAACTCGCCGAAAATCGGGGAAAAATGGAAAGGCAACGAGTTTCCCGGGAACTGAGAGCAAGGACAACCTTGAAGAACTCCCTCTTCCACAATAATTGGAACTTTCTGCGATGCGATTCCTATGCGCACGAGAGAACATCAGGCTTCTAACTTTGTTGTCGAGCAGAGAACCGAGATACCTGTTCTGTTTTGCAGTCTCAGAATTTTATCGCGACGCTGTCATAAATCTCCCCAGAGAGCCGGCCGACTTCTCATCTGTCAGACAGATTCGGAGAGCCGGGACAGCTGGATGGATCCTCGAGCTCTAGTGTTTGTAAACAGAAAGCCTTCGTTGCCGTCTGCTAATTTGGGCGGTAAAATATGTCGTGGCTTCGCCTAAACGTGCGCACGGTAGCGTACGGTCGTACGTATGGCTCTATGGGATATGTGAGAAGATATACGGCGTGGTCACGCGCCGCCAGAACTTAGTCTGTCGATGGGGAAAAGGGACGTCGATCTCGATGATCCTGTACTGAAAATAAGAGTGAAAGCGGGCGGGCTACGAACCGTAATCCTGATCGAATGCGGTGCCCAAGTCCTAACCTGAACACCGGATCAGAGATCACCCGATTCGTCCCTTCAGTGCCGGGACTCCGTAGCTTTCCAGAGCTAACCGAAAGAGCTTATTGCTAAATCAGGGGAGTTGGCACACCGTGAGAGAAAAATACATTCGGTGTGCCTAATAGTCAGTAGTGAGCAAGGAGCTCCCCATCTCCGAGGGGTGAGGAAAGGCCGACAGCTCCTTCCGAAAGTTATTTTTCGTCGAAAAACATGTTGATATGGAGGGTGTCCAGTACCTCGGATACTGGTCGGACGGAAGCTGGAATGAACTATGATCTCGAAACAAAAGGGGAAGGGGAAGGGCACGAACTTTTCTGACCTTATTGCTAGTGTTCTTGAAATCTGAGGGAGCCTACGAGATTTGAAAGGGGAAACTTGGTTAGAGATACATGCTCGGAGAAATGCGAAGAAAGAAACGAGACGCAAACAGGAATAGAGCTGATCGGATTGTGGCTTCCGCCCTGATCAGGCCAGCCGATGAGCCGACATAATTTTCCACTCCCCAACCTTCTTATGAGGCGGAATCTCTGCACGTTCGTGACTCGTGAGAGCCCCATCGACCGAGGGAGACGGTGTCCATCGATTGAAGAATTTATTTACAATTTTTGTACATGTACTTGGAATGAGGGAGGTTTTTATCAGAACATGATCTGATGATTCCCTCAATTTCTTACGCCCTCGTGACAGGCATTGATCTGACCCGCCTTGTGAGCTAACTAAGCATTGTTCACTCCAGAGGGCATCATTCGCAACGCGAACCGCAAGAGATTTCTAGTACTGCAAAGACACTGGTTTACTGAGAGCTGCGTTAGAGTAGGCTATCGAGTTGCCGGCGTGAACGAAGCCGCTCTCTGTGTCAACTTGTTGTCCGGAACCGTTCACTGTCACGATACATTTCCACTGTTGAGCATAGTTCGATTTCCACAATCGAACGTATCCATCATTGCCGGAGGTGGCGAGAACCGTCCCGAAAATATTCCACGAGATTCTCCAGACATGATTGTTATGTTCACTGAACTCGCCAATCATCCTGAAAAGAATCGAGGTTTTCTAGTCGCTACTCATAAATCGAAAACTAAAATTTTCTGCTTGCTAAAGAATCGATTTTCTGATCATTCGGAACCACATGACCCATGAATGAGTGATCCACGCCGATGTTCGAATCGACGTCAAAGTCGATTTCGGTGCTTACGAATTAAGTTGCCGAAAAAAACAAAGTGCTCGGTAGGATTGGTTGTCGACGGTTGGACGTCATCAGCTGTCTGTCGGCGAAGAAGCTCGACTGAGGCACCCAACCCTCGGAGTTTTCGATGTCCTCTCGAGAAAGCGAGCAGGGAGGAGGAGATACGCTGGGACGTGATCCACCCAGCTCGTTGGAGAGTCCCGGGAAAGATCTCTCCGACCCGGGACGCTCTTGTGTGTCTTCCCATGATGATGTTCCCCCGGATCCAGATCCCCCGAGGGTCCGATTGATAGCCAAAGACGTACGCGGCGTGGTCAAATGGTACTGCCATGCCTCTGTTTCCCAGTGCCGCGCCGTTGCGATCCCCGGTCTTCCCGGGAAGTCGTTCCGTGGTTACGTCCCCATCGAGTATTATCAAAATATTTGAGGATAACCCAAATTTTATCCCGCAGGTTCAACGCCGACAGGCATTTCGGCTTTGTGGTTCGCAACGACAACCATAAAGAGGTCTTCGTGCACCAGAAATCAATCGTGATGGCGGAAGGCGAGACACCCTTCCTAGCTAACGACAGCCATGTACAGTTCGAAATCTGGACTTTGCCCTGTGGGAGATACGACGCGAGAAACGTGCGTACAATCCACGGGACTCCGATTTCATATGCCCATAGAGAATGCGCATCGGAAGCCTCGTACGCGAGCAAAGCGTGCACGCCCGTGACCTGCTGCCATTTTAGTGAGTGCTCTCGCCTTGAAACCTATGAAAGTCGATCTCTGTTACGGTCAATCCGCTGAATGACTCAATAGGCTGAACTGAGAGGGCTCTTCATTCAGGGCTCTCCATTCAAGGTGCTTGTCCAACATGTGGTCGCCCGTATGGAACGAACCGCGACCGCATCAGATGTGGATCATACGGTGAAGACAAGCTACGAGCTCCCTACTTCTCCGGCTTCGATCGGCTTCATTGAAATGCTCCCTCGAGAGAAGGATTCAATAAATTTTTGTAAAAAAACCTCGATGCTTCTATGTTTGCCGGCTTTCTCTGACATATCCGAGAACTAATCGACGGGCCGTGCGGAACAGGGTTAGCGCACACGATCCCAAATCTCGGGACCAAATCATAAGTATCACCCCGGAGTACAACTCACCTCGTTTCCATCTGACCACTGCTGCTCCTCGTCACGGAAATGAGTTTGACGTCCTTGGACGCAATACCCACAAGATCGAAGCTCCGACCCATATTAGGCGCGAATGCCATATCGTGCACGGGATCCGTGACGCATACTGAATCGAGACGAGTCCAGGTTCTGGTTCCTTCATTGTATTCGTAAAAATGGACCTGGAAGCCGATGGACGATGATTATTATAATTATCATTCGATAGGCCGAGTAAAAACACCAGCCGTGGGGATCGAAGCCGTGGCTTGGACAGGAGAGTCTGAAACAGAAAATGAACAGACCTTCGCCGACGAGTTGTTGGTCGTGTCATCGCTACCGATCGCGAGGAGCGGGGGATTCGCATTCGAGTGCCATGTGAGACAACTGAGAGGCATCTTGCAGTCAATGTCACCCTGGAGAGGCCATGTCGACAGATTCATGACATCGGGAGCCTCATAGATCCGGACTCGAGCTAGATGTAACGGATGCGAGCTGTTATTGTCTTCCTGCTAGGACCGGAGCTTTGGAGCTACCCTTATTCTCGGGAGAAGGAGATTGATCGCTACTCACAGTCCTCGGAACAGGTTGCCAGCTGCAAGCCGAGATGTTTCGGGGCGAATTTGATGTCTTTAAGAGTTGCCTGGGCGCAGACAATGTTCGCCTTCCGCGACCATTTACCGTTCGGGGACTCCTCCCAAATAGCCGCTGTCCTATCGTGGGAGCACGTCGCAACGACCTGGAATTCGAGTCGACTTGGGATGAATCGAAATGAGCGCTTGGACCCGCTCCACCGCCGAAGCTGGAGCTCCATTTAGTCGTCGTCATTATGGGCGCATTTCCGTGCTGGAATCTTGAATACTCAGGTGACGGGAAGAGGTACCTACTGAGGCGCCGCATCGATCGAATACGCTCCGACAGGTCTGCCCAGCTTGAATCATCCCCGCTCAGCAGAGCCTAATCTATCTTAGCGCCGATTTCTCACGCTGATTCGAATCGATGGGGACACCAAATCCGCCATCGATGGACCGCAATATAGAGAGTGATGTGTTTTGGCAAATTGAATTTTGCATCGGACGGGATGCATCTTCACGAGTTTCCTAGAATTCTCTGGACTGGAAGCGTACGCCTCGTTTTACGCCAGATCCAGAACCATGGACTCTGGCAAGCCGTTGAGAATGCATTCTATTCAAAAAGCCAATACCGAACCTATGAGCGAAAGCTTGACAGCATCGTGTACTGACCTGCCCGAACTCAGGATGAGCCCAAGTGACTTTCCAGACACTGCCTGAGTGTGTTTTGAAGATAGCGCTGCATCGCCAGTTACCATCGGCTTGCAGATCGAAGATTTTCACATTTTGGTCTGACGAGCAGGTAGCGAGCCGCCTACCGTAAAAATCGAAAGCAACGTCGTGGATGAGATCCGCGTGATCGGCATCGATCGGAGTGACGAGCACCATGATTCTTGGTTGCGGTGAGAAAAACTTGTCAAGAATTCAAAAAGCTGAACGAGACTAGCAAGAGGGGCTCGTGTTCCTAGAGAGCGCCGACTATTCCGCCGCCGATACACAGAGAACGGTGGTGGTGTCGGCTGCTGTACCCAGTACTCAGCAGTCAGCAGCTCTCCCGGTGTGTTGTTCTCGTCGGGTTGTGTGTGCGCTCTGTGCGCCAGTGATCGCGAGTGTTTACACACAGACCAACCGGGGAAACTTGGAAGAGAGAAGGAAGAAGGCGCCAAATTCAAACGACATGCTTGGTCCTCCACGACCAACGACTTGGAATGAGAAGAATTCTCGCGTTTACTCCGTGAGACGTTGCCGTGTTTCTTCTGGCGATGGGAAGTCTTTTTTGTCAACAACAAGTCAGCACAAGTCTCTCCGAGTACGCCATGGGAGCTGACGACGGGTTTAGTGGGGGTCGAGAGTCGAGACCGCGAGATACCGAGTGAGGGACGATTTCTATAGCGCGGCTTGTGAGCAAGCGCATCATTCCACGGCGACCCCTATTGATACGGAGGGGAAGTGTCATGACGGGTGGAATCTCCGGCCGAATCTTCATGGAAGCGCGAACCGAGATCTGAAGTGAAAGCCCCTCCGACAAAGACCGCGGAGCGTAAAGTCCGGAGCGAACGGAGTCAAGAATACTCTCCCGTGCCTGCTTTCTTCGAATCTCCACATGGTCTCCATGCAAGCTCTCCGGCTCGAGATTGGTGTTTTTTTCGAGCGTATGTCCTTCGAACTACACGGGGAGGGAGGATTCTCAAAATTTGCAGAGCCTGGAGAGGTCAAGGGTCCACTCTCTTGACTCGATCACAAAGCGTTGAGCGCGTCCAGGACTCGTGTAGATTCTCACCCCCAGAAATACACTCCGAGAACGCGTTCCCGGTCGAAGACAGATCTGGCACGGGAACTGTCGCCCTATCGGTCATGCAATGATGATAATAATCAGGCCTCCCTTTACAGTCTGTCTCCCGCAGCGTCCTGGACTGTTCCAACTGTGGTCCGCAGCATTGTTGACGGCGACGAGGACCAGGACCGCTAGTCTCAAGAGGAGACTCCGCGTCATCTCGCGCCAGTATCCCGCTGTCTCGTTATCTTCACCCTGGAAAAAGGCAAGAAAACCTTTCCTTCGAGTCCTTCAAAGCTTTCTCCTTGAAGTCGTAGAAAAAAAACGGCATAATCGTCGAAAATTGGGCTGGGGTGCCCTAGCGAGACCGACCCGGCCTTTTTAAATTTATAATAGAAAATCCGGCATAAGACGTCAGTGACGCCCCTGAACCTGGTTCCCCAACGCCAGGTTCGCCGGCTACTGGGCTTGATTACCGGTATTGTTGTGTCTCTTAAAGACATTGAAGCTCATGTAGAGGAGATATTTTTATACCCCAGCCAAACACCGGGGCGATGAATCCCGGCGAGGGAAAACTTTTCACATGAAGTTCTCAGGAGATTCCTGAAGTCGCAGCGACGCTACTCTCCTCGAAGCTGGAGCGATGATCGATGATGCTATCCACAACTACACGGCGGTATGTAAAGACCACTGAGGCTCTGAACTAGCTCCTCCTCAGGCACTTCCGACCTCGGCTTGAGGGAGACTCCTTGTCGCTTGCGTCTCTCTTCCTCGTTCAGGTTCCCTAGCGTCAATCCTTGCAAGGAGAAGACGCCGAGAAGAACCAAGACCTCGACGGACTGAGCTCCCGATACTTAGTCATGATCGGCAGGAGCGCGAGCCCATCCGAACAAACGCTATCGATTTAATTGTAAGGCGTTTTGGACTAGGAATTCTCATTTCCGGAAATTCCCCAGATTTTTCATTCTCGCAAGCGGAGGAACGCGCATGCGCACGTGACACTATTCCACAACTTCATCTATGTAGCAGAGCTATAGCGGGAGTCTCACGTCATTCAATCTGAATGATTTCCTAAGCGAAGTCGCCCTCAGTCGAGGACTGGACTCGGCTTCGATTCTGAGAAAATTCGACGGGATATCGGAGGGCGATTGAACGCAATACAGACATTGACATGCCTCGTCATCGGTGCTATCGAACTGATCGCGCCGCAGCTGTTGACGCTGCGAAACGTTGCCGCAGACGAGATGCAGCACACGTCGACGTGCAACTTCCCACGTGCAAGTACCTTCAACTGCAGCGGCCGCTCGGAACTTCGCTGAAGCTGTCGTCTCCGGTTCGGAACATTGAAAGCAACTGTTGAATCCTCTTTTGAGAGGTTTTCCGGTTCTTTCCCACATGGTCGTCATGTATCACGTTCACGACCCCTCGTATAATGTTTGGAGCAATATCTGTCAAAGTGCTGATCTCAACGGGATGTATGCCCATCCAGGCATGACTCCACAGAACTTAGGAATCCCATTCTACGCTAAGCGCCCGTATCCGGCTCGGAAGTTCCAGAGTTACGTTGTGAACGTGTGTCCCGAGGTTCCGCCCTACGATGCTTCACCGTGGAGATCCCCAAACAGGAGTTACAGCCTGGGTCTCGAAGGGTTAGTGAATTGAGCACGGCGTTTCTCGTCTCCGCAATCGGCTCCGGGAGCAGAAGCACGGCGACCAGACGCTTCGCGTGACGCTCTCCGTGTCTCTTCTAGATTGACCGAAGAAATTCACGATTTCTTCATGTATGCCCAGCCGAACGCTGCTGATCAAAGCCGTCGAGAACAGGTCATCGAGAAGGTCCGGGCCGCCATTCGAGAAAAATGGCCCGACTGCGTCGTCGAGGTTTTCGGAAGCTACAAGACCGGACTGTACCTTCCCACCGGCGATATCGACATGGTGAGCATAATGATTCCTCTTGGCAAAAGTTCCGACAGAGGTCAGGCAGAATGGCTCGAAAAAGATTCATTAGCTTCCTCGGAGTGTACATGTACATTCGCCGATTTATTGAGTACCCACGCTCGGGTAGGTGATCCAAGGGAATTGGGAGATCATACCGCCGCTCTTCGACCTCGAGCGTCAGCTGATCGAGAAGAAAGTTGGCGAGAAGAATACCTTCAAAGTGCTCGACAAGGTGAGTGATCTCGGGATCGTCGATGACGCTCCTTATGGCCTGTCCTCTCGCCCAATGGAGCGTCTGCAGCTGCGGCTCTTCTTTTCCGGATTTCAGGCGAGCGTACCCCTCATCAAGTTCAAGGATGCCGATACTGAGATTCGAGTCGACCTCTCTTTTAATCAGGTGAGCCGAAATACCCCACGGTAGAACTGACGCTATGCGCATGGTGCAGCGCGGACATCTCAGACATCTCTCTGCTCGAAAAACTTTTCAGGCGAACTGTACCGAGGCCGCTGCATTCGTGAAGCAATGCTGTAGGACTTTCCCTCCGCTTGCGAAGCTCATTTTTGTTTTAAAACAGTATCTTAGCCTACACGGATTGAATGAAGTGTTCCACGGGGGGATTTCCAGCTACAGTCTCACACTGATGATCGTAAGTCGATCGAACATTCGCACATCTCCATCACAATCCTTATTCATCCTTTCTGAGTTTGGGAACGGTAATCGCCGCTCCTCTGGAATTTTCAGCTCAGCTTCCTTCAACTTCACCCTGAGCAGGAGATGGTCCGGAGCGATAAACCAGAGACGGGCAAATTGCTCGTTGAATTTCTAGAGTTTTATGGAGATCGATTTGAGTACGATAAAATGGGTGAGCGAAAATTGAGCTTCCGAGAACTGCTTCGAGAAGAGCCGCTCACCTACCGAATACCGTATTGAATGAGCTTTCGAGTACAGGTATCAGAATCCGGGACGGAGGCGCTCTAGTCGACAAGAACCAACTCCGAGAATGTCTGATTGCCGCCGGGGGACCTCCTTCATCGGGTTCGAATCTTCTGTGTATCGAAGATCCCTTGACGCCAGGGAATGATGTCGCTCGATCGTCGTACGCGATGTCCAGGGTCCGGGATGCTTTCAAGTCCGCATTCACTTGTCTCTCGAAGTTGGTTCATCCTTCGCTGTTCCCCATGGTCGGGAACCCGAGACCCCCGTGAGTAGCTCGCGTATTGGGGGTGGCGGGACGCTCTCAAATTCTCAGGCTGTCAGTCGACTCTCGACGCTCCGTTGGGAACTCACTCGCACTTAGTCGGAGTCGATTCTTGCTTTCAGGACCTTGACTCAGATGATTGCTGCTCCCAACGGTATGCCTTATGGCCGAATTATGTCTCCGTACCCCGAGGAATACTGTCACACGAAGAGTCACTCGAACCGAGGAGTGAGAGGGACCAGCACCGAGTACAGTAATTCTAAGCCGTATCCCGTCAAGAAACGCCAACGAAAATGGAGTGAAGATCGTTCTGACAAGAATCGAGCTCCAGCTCCGATGTACGCTGCGAACGTCGAAGATCAAGTGAGGTTCTTCCCCGACGTTCGCCAATGGATTTCTTGTTCCCATACGTGAATAACTTCGCCCTTGTCGGATCCATTCTGAGACCCCTAGCACCCAGCCTCGCCGTTGAATATCCCGGATGAGACTTCAGCATGCCTTCTGGTTTCAGTGTTTCGATATCATCATAAACGGGCCTCAGATCCAAGCGGACAGAAGAAAGGGACGAGCCGTGACCGAATCCCCGAAACCCGTGCAGTGAGAGCGTTGTTCTGTCTCAGAGTCTCTCCGCTGAAACGTCTCGGCACTGCAAGGGAACTGAACTCAGCGTCCCCACCCATATCTTAAATCTTTACAGATTTTTTGAATTTGCTCTCCGCTCTCCTCCAAAACGAACATTGCAGTAAGTCCACAGGCATTGAATCAGCTGACTGGCGAACTGGGAGAAAAGAACAAAAAGCACAAAAAAAAGACGTCACTGTACATCCTTGCACCGGCGGATGTCAGGTAGTTACAGAAACCTCAAGAAAAAATAGTGGAAAATACTAGTTATTTACAAGGACTAGACTAAAAAAATCTGGAAAACTAAACAAACAAATAGTTGAAAGCATCCTTCAATGGCGAAGCTGGTCTTGGCACAGCGAACGCTCCTCTGAATCCATTCGAAGAACACTCGCCAGAGACGATCATCGCAAAAATAAAATCGGAAAAAACGTAAAAAAAACTAGAAAAACTAGAGAAAAATAACTAAACAAACAAATAAAAAATCACTAACATGTACTTTTATCAAAGCACTCTGCCAAGAAATTTTCCCATCTCTTTCGGAGAATTCGTACAAGCGAGCGTTCGAATGAAGCGATGACATATTGTGTCTCAATTTGTACAAACAAGGAATAAACTCCAGGAAAAACTGTAGCGCCACCACAGATGGCGGTATGCAATGGTAATCAGCTCATGCGGCGCGAAAGCACAGTGACTTGTCGATTTGCTAATGTACTACGATGCGCTCAGTCGACAAGGAGATGCGGAACAAGGAGGCGATTCGTGGGGAGCACTGCTCATCAGGATCGTCGAGAAACGATCTCACTCACGAATTTAGTACCAGAGGAAGATTCCCCGAGGGAGGGTTGAGAACAAGCGAGACTTGGCGATCGTGAAATGAGAGCTATGTGAAGCTTGAGAAAACGCCACGGAGATTCGATGCAATTGTTCTTTTAAAAACACGACAGTACGTCGAAGAAGAGCCAAAGCTGATGTATGGGGATGTGCTCCTGTCAACAATCAGATGCTATCAAGAGCGCAAGTAGTAATCGTAGCAGAATAAAATGGTAAAACTGGTAGCAATCTCAAATATTATTTCGATGATCGCGATCGAGAAGGCTGCAATGGGAATGAACCGGATTTCTAAACCTCAAGCTTGAACTAGTAATTAGGGAAAGCCATCGGACTCAGCGAATGCGGAATAAAACTAATTGTCGTAGTTCGAAAGTGTTGTGAATCTGAATGTCGGCCAGGAACTACCGAATGGAATGGGGGTGATCCCATCATCCGCAACTGGAGGCTTTCTGACACATGCAGCTCAGTGTACATCACGACGCGGAGTCGGTGGAAAATTCCCCACAGAGCATATACCGCGGCAGCGGTGATTGCGGTCTTGAGTGATTGCGTTGGCTCCCCGTTCCTTTGCCCTGACCGTGGACCGTAGGGAAACTCAATGACTGGGGATGGATTTTCGGGGAGCAGGTGCGACTCTCGGTATCTCGGGATTCGCGATCGGGAAATCGGGAACCATCGTCGAGGACCCCGTGTTCCGGCTAAGCAGAGTGCCGAGCGTCGATTCCTGGACCGCCCTCGGGCTAACTCCTCTTTCATCGCTACGAATCAGAGGCTTAAGGGAAATTATCTGAATTCTCCTGAAGACACGGCCTATTCCACAGAACTGCTGATGATCGGATTTAAGGAGACTTCTATTGAACGGGCCTCCATTATGACTTCCCGGGATCCCGGGCCTCGCGGGAGCCGGAATTCCCGAAAGTCGTCGATAATCTTTGAAAGCCTAGAAGTTTAGGAACGTCCGGGGAAAGGTCCGCTCAAAGCAAGCGATTCGCTCCGACTTCTGACGTTCTAAGTGAGCAAGAGACTGCTGATATGAATATTCCTTTCGCATCTATTCCAAGGAAACAACGATTTCAGCACCCCTCCAGGGCGGGATCCGAGACCCGCGGCCTCGACTCTTGCCAGCCAGGCTTCGAGTCGATCAAAGAGAGGTCACGCTGCGCGGTTTTCGTTCGAAGCAGACGCCGCGCCGCAGACTTCACTGCAGTGGGAGAGCAGGAATACAGTAACTCGGTTCTGATTCGTGTTCGTGAGCGCGCGGTGTTTCTTCCGGGCTCGTTCGAGACTTGATTCCACAATCTAGCAGAGTGCACCGCCCGTCGAGCTGAGTTCTCATTCCAAGAAAACGAAAGCACTGAACGCGGAGCCAACTCGATTTCTAGAGCATTTGATTCGTGATGCTGCGTTTGAAGATCGACGTGACAGCTATAGACGGACAGCATTGGGAAGGAAAATTGAGATGCATTTTCTGGAGGCTGGAACCTCATGGAATCCCTCACGAAACAGTGTTTCAGTATACTACCCACCTGCTGAGCGAGATCGGGATCATAGGCGGTATGTTGTACTCCTCGCTGTGAGATCCCGGACTTGAGAGTGTTCCATAGCCCATCATTCAATTTCACGCCTCCTCCATTCGAGCCAAGGCACCAGATCGTCCTACGATGAGAACTTATGATTTCCCCACAGTGAAACCTTTGGCGTACCTCGATGGCACATATATCCCCGACGACGAATCGACCTCTATCTTCCGTGATGGGGACTTGCTTCGCATCCTACCGGCGAAGACCCATAGCGCACCTCCGATCCCGATGATTGGTGAAAAGAATTCCCGTAGGGTCGAGACCGCTGTCCAGAACGAAACTATCAGAATTGTGAGACCCGTCGAATCTCTCGACGATGAAACACCGACTGAGACCACGATGCGGGGAGAAGATTTGACCGAGTTAGTGAGCGGTGAGTCGGCAAGAAAAGAAACTTGCAGAATACTCCTGTGTCTATTATGTCGAAGGTCAGAATTCACTCATGTCCGGTAATTGAATGATTCCATGCCGAGCCTCATGAACTTTCAGTCACGGCGAACGATTCCGAATGCGCGGACGATGCGGACCTCCGCGAAATTCGCGAACGCAAGAGACGAAAGAGGGGCAAACGCTGGTCTAGAGTTCGATCTAAACGAGTATCATTCGACGGTGGGTATTCTCGGATCGATGCTTCATCCGTAACTCGCTTCATACGGAATCTCGGAGTTGGACTCTTTCCCCTAAAGTATTTCAATCGTAGTCATAGGCGAGGGAAATCTGCGAGAGAACGCTGAAGCTCACATGGAGAGCACGCCCTTCGAGAATCGGGTTCCAAGCGTGACGAACGGCGAAACGCCGAACGGTACCTTGGGTGAGTAACCGTCGATGAATCATCTCGATACGGATGCGTACTTCGAATATATGTATTCCCAATCGATCGCTGTTTCATACAGTCTCATGACTTTTCCGTCATCCCGCGCTCGCCATATAATCAGGAGGAGCCTAGACTGTGCCGTAATTACGTGCGACAGCCGTCAGAATCTTCCCCGGAGCGGATCAGAGTAGACTAACGCAGTCAATTTTTCAGCGAGAACGCTGAGCGATGCCTACGTGACGGCCCTTGCGGACACGCCTGGAATATCAAAGCAGAGCAAGAAGCCCCTGAAAGCCATCACGGCGAGGAAAAACAAGAAGATTCAATCTGGAGTTGGATATTATCTTGGGCTATTGGGTAAATAGGACGCTCGCCGCTTGAGGGCACTCCAATTACTTACGGGAGGATTTGGGACTCATTGGGACTGAGGAATTGATCAAATCCTGATGTTGGTATCCCCCTTAGGTTCCGCTGAGAGTAGCCTGATAGCTGGGACGAGTTCAGGCGACGCAACAGGTTCGCCCGCAAACGGGCATTTGAAGCCCGGTCCGTCGAACTGCGGGGAAACTTCGAAATCGAGCAGCGGGGATGACAAGCGAGGTGAGAATCCCGTGGAGTCAGTTCCTTTCAACGGTATCCTGTACTCTCCGTTATCCCTCGCTCTGTAATCTGATGAATTCGTTTCAAGATGCGTCCGTTCTGTCAACCCTGGCACCGAATAGCAGGATCTCATGTGACGTCGGAATGTTTGACGCGAGAACCTCGAGCGTAGAGCATTATCAAGACGTCACCCTGGAAGTTCTGGAGAACCATAAGGACAAGAAAACGTTATTCGTCACTCACATCGAGGGAGACTTGCCGAACCATGTCAGCGGCAGTGACTTCAAAGTGGATTGGGGAATGTTGAGCTCGATAAGATTTTTGTGAAGGCACTCAGCACCCAGCGTTCCGACGAGGACTGGTCCTCTTTTAATATTGAGGCTCATGATGGAAGGCCCTTCTGATTGATCAGTCCGAGCGAGGATTCTGGGAATACGCCCGGTGTCCCTCATCTTGAGAAGATATTTATAGTTACCTACTTTCAGGTTGTTCCATTATTAATAAATCCCTAAGCAGTCAATTTCTTAAATTTGGTTGCCACAACTTGCATCTTATCGCGAGCTCGCGTGGTGAGTCGCGGCCGAATCCTTTCCGAGTATCGTTCCCCAATCAAATCTTCGGACTCCGTAGGAAGGAGCTCGGATGGCCCGCGTCGGGTACGAGGCTGTCGATCGAATACCGTTGCGGCGAAAGTTTTCAGGCATTTCAGGCACCTGTGGAATGAATATCGAGGCTTGTCGTGCAAGTTTCGCTGATCTGCCATTTCTCGGTTCGCTGATCTATGAGTTTCCGCATCTCTGCGATAAAATTTGTGGATCTGCTCTCCCAGCAATAGCTGCTGTCTAATCCACCACCCCCGATTTATGCAAATGAAGCAGTCTATAGAATGTTCTTCATGGAGCGATCCGTGAACTCCCACAGATGCTCCTGCGACATAGGAGTCAGGAACAGACCTTCAAACAACTTAGCGAATGTGCTCCCCCAAGAGAATCGGGAGCCACTGTGTGGTCGTTTCGACCACATCTTCTAGACCTTCGAAGCTCGGAAGCAAGATTCCGACCGCATGGCGAAGCAAGACTCCGACCGCATGGCGTAGCAAAATTCCGACCGGAGCCCTCAGACAGGACGCCTCGTTGGGACTCGGATTTCACGGCTCTCCTCCTGGTATTCGAAGCTCGCGGGGAGGTTTGTCCGAGACAACATTTTGCAAAGTCCTTCAATGCATTTCGGTGACGGCTCATCGGATAATCTGCTCGGCGCGCTGCGACACTCCTCCATTCGGGAGATTCTTTCGCGGGACGAATAATGCTCTGCCGTCCTAGCTAATCAGGACCCGCAATAAAATTTATCTATAGCCAAACGACAGGAGTGAATTGGAATGGAGCGCACTTGAGGGGAACACACGATAAAAGTAGAATCACGTACGACGCCCGCCGGGAGACCGTGATTTCCCACCCTTCCCCCTCACCGCATACCTTCCGACGCGAGGAATCGAATATATCTCCATTTCTGAGTTTCATGAAAAGAGCAGAGTGACCTCTCACTTCCCAATCCCGATCTTCCAATACAATATCCCCCTCCTATAAAGCCGTGGAGTAACGTCTTTGAGCAAGACCCCTTTCTTGACTCTCGCGATGGGAGCGACAGACAACGATGAGTCTAGAATAATTCAAGATACCGGAGAGTCGCGAGAAGATTCAGCAGCGCTGTCATGCTCAACCAATGATGGAGAGGCTCCCCGCAACGGATCTTACAGCACAAGCAGGCTGCGGGTTCCTCACAAACTTCTCTGTGATCAAGATGCTATATGGCCCTCTAAATTTAATCGACCCTGTCGGGAAACGGCTTACTGTCTCTCAACAGTCTTCTGAGACTGAGTGCTCTCATCTGACTCAAGGTCACGTCACGCTCTCCTGTTTCCGAGCATCACCGTCTTCTGTCCCGATCCCCTGTCGCACGGGAATGTTACCACACCGGAAGGGCATGTGATAGCGAACCATGTTGTGTACGACTATTCTTATCTTTTTGTTGACCGTACTATCCCTGAAACTGTACAAGCTCGTGACGCACTGGAGCGATAAAGGTATTCCTCGTGAGTCCTTCATAAAAGCTCTACATCGGACACTTTGGAAAAACATCTTCCAAAACCCGTTCGAAGTCCACGACGAAATCATTGAGGAGTACGGTACGATCTTCGGATCCTTCCGAGGCTTATCACCGGTGCTCGTGGTGTCGGAAGTCGATCCTCGCGGAGATGTCTTCACGAGGGAATCACTCGACCTTTATGGTATAGGCTCTGCCGAAAGGGGTAAAATCGACCTACTGCAAGCTCGAGGTTCCGTCGGAGACTCATACAAAGAATACCCCAGTCTGTCTCCAGGTGGGGGATAGATGGCGAGTGGCTGTCCTCAGAAAAATGTTTATGGCTCCTATGAGTTTTGCAGCTCCTTCGAAACCGTGGCTCTAATCTGCGAATGCGGTTTTCTGAGATTTGCCGGGAAGGTTAGCCTCATCGAAGATCCGATAGGCATAGTATCGTTTATCGTTTACCCAGAGTCACCTCCCATCTCCCATCGAATAACCGTGGTTTCCGTGCCCAAGATGCTCCTCCTGAAAAATCAGGAACTCGCTGAGCGGGACCCCCAGAGCGAGCCCATGGCGAGGTATATCTCATGCCCGAATCGGATCATCTACCTGAGTCCTCATCGGTGCCGCTCTGACGATGGATCATGCGCTTATCCAAACCTGAGATAGCTTCCGGAACTGGACATCTTTTGTTTCTCCGAAGAGATTCGGAGACACGCTCAGAGAGACTCGGGTGGTGCTCTTCATTGGCGCGAGATTCCTTCATCATCAGAGAGACATTCATGGAAGAATCGGCTGACAATGAGTCTAGAATTCAAATTCGGCTCTCGAGAGGGAGAGCTCTCCCGTTACGCCCGAAAACTCGGTGATTCTTAATTCCTAGAGGGGTGAACTGAGGGGCTTGAAGCATCCGATTCCCGGATGTCCGAATTCCGGTCTCGGATCCGGTAATCACGTAATCACTTATTCTTCCGGGGCTGGGAATTGTCAAGCGACCGTTATCCTTCCCTTCTTCGAACAGTTTGTCCGACTCCTGCCATCGAAGAGTCCTTTCACATTGGATAGTCCCGCAGAATTCAGCCACGTCCACGTGGGAAACGCGAGGGGCCGAAAGTTGATATAAATCTGTTCGCTTCTCACAATCAGTGATATCGACTGTCCGCGAGGGGATGCCTCGAGAACCCGGGCCGTGAGCCTAGCCGGTCGGAACTCACCGGCCATTTATCAACTCAAGTGATTAATATTGTTACCATACTCGGCAGGAAATTGATCGCTGCTCCCCCTCACTGTTCAAGGTACGAAAGCCAGCGATTGGAATGCTCTCGAGGCAGATTCAAGGTCATCTCACTTCTCCCGTGGCGCGCGCATCCGGACGACTCAGCCCTCCGCGTTCCGCCATCAGTCGCTCACTTAACGTCCAGAGGTGGTGCGAACGAGAATCATGTTCTTGACGGCGATTCTTTTCGTTTCGGTGACACTGCTGGTCCTGAAATTGTTTAGGCTGGCGACTCACTGGAACGACAAGGGTATCCCTCATGAATCGTTCCTGGAGGCCCTGCATCGGAGTCTCTGGAAAAACACTGTCCGCAACCCGTTCGACAACTATGACGATGCTGTTCGTAAGCACGGCAGAATTTTCGGATCCTACCGAGGTCTGAGTGCAGTGCTCGTGGTGTCCGAGTTGAACGCTGCCAAGGAAGTTTTCATCAAACAATTCCCAAATTTCTACCAACGGACTTTCGATATCCCAGTCGGGGACAAACTATGGGACAATCTCCCGGGTACACTGCCCCACGATGATTGGAAAGTAGTGCGCAGTTTGCTCGGGTACTCTTTCACGGCTTCGAAACTCAAGGGTATGATTCCCAAATTCGACCGGATTGCCAAGAGGAGCGTCGCTCACTTAGAGAAGATCGCGAGAACAACAGAAAACGAAATAATTCTGAACCGATCCATCAAAGCCTATGCTTTGGACTCGGTGGTGGCTGCTGCGTTCGGGGTGGATTTGGAGAGCGAAGACAACCCGAATAGTCCGTTCATTAAGCACGCAAGCGATCTCTTTAACCCTAGCTTCGGCACGTATCTCTTCATGTTCGCTCCGAGACTGCTGAAATATTGTCCCTTCGCCGGCTTCCCTCCGAAGGCTACTTCGGAGTTCTTCAATAAATTCGGAAAACGAATCTTGGACGAGAAGAGAGCAAACCTCGATCAAACGATCAAGAACGGCACCGCAGACATTCTGGACAATTTGCTGATCGCTCAGAGAGAAGATCCAAGCTCTATAATTACTGATGATGTTCTCACCTCCCAGGCATTCATTTTTTATCTGGGAGGGGTCGACACGACGGTCGTTACTCTTGAAATGACAACTTTTTTCATGACGATCCATCCGGAAGTTCAGGATAAGGTCGTGGAGGAAATCGAGCAAGTCATGGGGAACCGGGATCAAGTCGAATATGACGATGTCCAGAAAATGAAATACCTGGACGCCACCATCCAAGAGTCGTTAAGATTCTATCCCATCTCGTTTTTGATAGACCGCTTTTGCAACAAAGATACGACTGTCGCGGGAGTGCCGATTAAGACAGGAACGATCGTCGAGGTGCCGATTCGCTCCATGCACTTCGACCCAGAGCTCTTCCCAGAACCGGAGAAATTCATGCCGGAACGTTTCCTGAAAGAAACCTCCCAAGATGGAGCTGTCCAAGGAATCTTGACTTTCGGAGAAGGTCCCAAGAACTGCGTCGGAAGACGGCTAGCAACTATGAACGTGCAGGTTCTGTTGGCGAACATGCTGAGAAAAATTAAACTTGAAGCTTGTGAGGCGACTCCGAAATCCCTTAAGCTCAAGGGAGGTATGAACTTTACGAACGTCTCCGAAAAGCCTCTAGTTCTGAGAGTGACTCCCCGGATATGAGACTGCGATAGAAAGTCCTCCCTTCCGGACGTCTGACCGGAGCACCTACCCCTTTTGACACGCCAACATTTTTTACTCAACGCAGATCGTGCGAGCTTCGGGGAAACGAGCCCGACAAATCATTGCGCCCATGTTTTGTACAGTCGGGGCGGAAATCTCCAACCAATAAAGTTTTTGAAAATTGAGAGACTGGAATTTTTCTCTGTTAGATATTCTGGAACCGGAAACAATTACGTCATGTTCAATCTATATTCGACAGATGGCTGCAAGTTCGCGCAGCTCTCCGAGCGCAGTGAGTCCGCCGAACTATCCGAAGCCGTTCGGGTAGTGGAGTTCTCGACGCGTATTCCACGTCGCTCTGCCGCAGCGTTCCCCGTCGAAATTTTCCCGCAGTTAACACCGCGGAGCCTAGAAGCGTCAACCTTACACGGCTGTGTTTCGCCGCTCCTCGCAGATCTTCCTCGTTTGACAGCCGCTCTCGTGCTCTGCGGTCACCACCGACTGGAGCCGCTTTACGTTGAATCAAGTTGGCGGCGGTCGGCGCCGATGTTGTTTATTCTCTGCTTTCCTTCTCAGCTGCTAGAGCCGACGGCTCCGTCCGGCGAGCGAGCGTCTGTGTTTTGATCGCTGTCGTCGTAGCCGCTTTCAACTGAGGTTTTCGACGCGGTGCATGGGTTCATCCGCGCTGTAAAAACTCGAGCTTCCCGTGAGTTCCTAATGCTGACACATTCGCGTTGGCTTGAACGTTTCCTCTTCCTCGCTGACCTGATGTCTCGGCGACGAATTCTGGCTGATTCCCGCGAACTCTAGAATCCTCTCAAACTCCAACCGCGACTCCGAACGATGATCCCGGACCCGGAGCATGGTTGAATCCTGAGCTATGGAATCCAGTTTCCAAGCGATAGCTCCCGGCAGGCTCTCGCGCTTCTCTGGCTCTTCAGAGTCTTCCATTTCTTCTTTGGTTCTTGACTTGATCATCATATTTGTGCGTCATGTCAGCCCTGTCGACCGGTTTTCAATTCCGCGTTTCCTCCTTCGGTCGCTCTGCATCGAAATCCGAGGATGACTCAACGAAACGTTCTGCTCGCTCCGATTCTCCCGAGCATTTGCCATGGCGGGAACAAACCGAGGGACCGCACGCTGAAGCTTTCACCCTCTACATTTTTGCCGGCCCCTGAGGAGCAGGGAAGCACTCGAATGAGTTCCCGCTGACTCCGAGCAGTATTTAGTCGATAGATGAATTTCTAATTCGAGAATCAGGACAAGAGCTGCCCCGTTCTTAATGCCGATTGCAGAGCTCTTGCATGATGTATTCGCTCCGAGATCGCGAGTCACTCTATTCACGACAGCTTGATTCTCTCATTCTTCGTTATCGGCGTTTCCGCCCAGAAGATGATTCGCCTCGCAAGATTGGATTTCAGTTACAGAGGAATGATGGGACTTCTCCTGATTGGGGCCTCCGTCACTGCCCTTGCAGCTCTATGGGGCATCTACGGGGATGCTGACCTAAGTACCCTGATCGCCCACAATATTTGGCACAACAGAAGGAACAAATACAGAGGTCTGACTCTTTGTGGTAATCCCATCTGAAGCAGCCATGATTCCTCGCTTCAGCATCCCTCCCCATTGAGTGGTATAATTTTACCTTCGTGATTTCAGGCAAAGTCATCTGGATCACTGGAGCATCTTCGGGCATCGGGGAAGAGGTGGCATATGCCTTCGCTCGCCTCGGATGCAAGATAGTCATCTCAGGAACTCGGATAGCAGAACTGGAGCGAGTTCGAAACAAATGCGAGATGCTCTCGTCGGAGTGCCGGGTGAAAATTCTCTGCGGTGACATTTCAGACACGAAGAGGCATCCAGAGTGGCTCCAAGAAGTGACGGATGCTTTCGGTATGGATGTTCCCGGAGATGCAGATTCACGAGAACATTATGACTTGGAGCGTTAGGTCGCATCCTGAGATGAGGATCTGATGCGGAGATGCTTGGATTCCAGGCGAAGTACACGTCTTGGTTAACAACGCAGGAAGGTCGCAGCGGTCGAATTTCGAAAAGATTCCGGAGACGATTGAGCGCGAACTCTTCGACGTGAATGTCTTTTCGGTCATGTCCCTGACGAGAGTCGTCGTTGCGCGATGGTAAGCTTAGTAGGGAGCGTGGATTCGCAAGAGGAATACCTCGTGATCAATTCGAGTTCATGTAACTAAAAGGAGCTCATTGCAAAGGCTCGAGAAAGACCTGAGGGACCGCGAGATCTTGGTCACATCCAGCACTGCAGGGAAGATCGGAGCCCCGTTGTCGGCCACTTACTGCGCTAGCAAACACGCTCTTCACGGGTTTTTCGAAGGTCTTCGTTCGGAACTCTCCTGCCGGGAATTTCCCATGCGGATCTCTTTGGCGTGTCCGGGGCCGGTCCGCTCGAACATAAGGGTTTCGGCATACACTGATACGGTAGGTGAAGGCTCTCACGGCTTCCGCACCCGACTCCGGGTCCCGGAATCACGTCGACTTCGCTTCTGCTGCTTGGGGAAATCTATACGGCAAGAATTGACTTTTCAGGTTGGACAGCAATACAATATGCCCGATACCGCCGGACAGAAAAATCTCATGGAAACGGCCCGCTGTGCTCAGCTGATGGTCTCGGGTTTGGCGAGCGGGCTCGACGAGATGTGGATCTGCCGTCAGCCCGTCTTGATCGTTTACTATCTGGCTCAGTACATGCCGTCAGTGATGCGGATGTATCTGCTGAAGTTGTTCATGAACAAGAACACTCTCAGAGTGAGAGACGGACACTGAGGCGAAATCACCCTCGAAGGTCGGATCATATCCTATGCTCGATGTAACCGAAACAAGAAAAAACACTCGAATAAAATCATTTTTCTTTAAACACGGCTTCGATGTTAAAAACGGGAATATTTATTCTCTCTCCGCTCTCGACACCACCTGGCTGAAGATCGGAGCATGTCATTTTTCTCGTCGGGTGACTTCTCCGATTATCACAATTCAACTCACGATTTATACATTCACAAGAATTCATTAAGAAGATATACATACAATACCACTGCACTGTGAATAAATTCGGAAATCCACCCCGGCGCTTTACCACGAGCGTCTCCGATGTCTCCTAGATCGTTTTTTTCATAAATCAGCCTAGTTATTCCTTCAGCTATACGCTCCCTTATCCGCCCGAGGCTAATCTAGACCTCCCGAGAAGGAAACGCAATCGCAACCGCAGCCCGTCGGACAGAAACGATTTTTATCAAACCAGTGTTTCATATGCTCGCTATGACCGCCATGGTAGCAGATCAGGCAGAAGAAACTACTCCCGCGGACTCCAAGCTCACAAACTGTGCACTTGAAGACGAGGTTCCTACAGGTTTTGCAAACAAGCTCCTCCGTCTCGATCGAACAGGTCGGGCAGCGTTTCTTGAATTGCACGTCCTGAATTTCTCTATTGTTCTGCGTCGTAATATGGTTCAAGACGAGGCAGCGTTGTTCCAACAAATTCCACTTGTACAGCAACTCGGCATAGTGCTGCTTCAATTGATCATAGCGTGTCATTTGCCCGGGATTCAGTAGGTAGGTGTCGTCATCCGCGACGTCCGGCTCGTGAGCGGGCACGACCGCCGTGTGGTCGTCCCCTATCGGGTATCCGTCGAGAGCTATGAAGTCCTTGATGGAGTCTTTTTTCGGGAGCCGTCCACTCAGGAACGCTGCAGGTATACCTGCATGCGTCGAAGGCGATCCGCCCGTGATGCTATTATAGGGTGATCCGCCTGGGGAAAAACGGGGCATTCGATATGGGGTATGTATAGAGTATATGGGAAGATGTCGATTCGATAGAACGCAGGATCAGCCGAGTTTGATACTGTTCCAAATCAGAACGAAGATCGGAGGTCCTACCATTCATCATTTTCTGCCACGTCTTCTTCAGGACATTCGACGTTTTCTCGTTCGTTTTCCGTCCGTTCGAGCCCATTTCGATTTGTGGTGGCTCTTCGGTGATCCCTCTCTTGACTCGCTGTCGCCTGTTCACTTCACCGAAAACGCAACACAGCATCGCTACTGTTTGGATGTCGTAGAGTTTCAAATAACTGTCTATGAGATGCTCAGCCAATTGACGTCCGAAAACGTGCATCGGCCAGGGAAGATCGTGGGGTTTCTGAGAATTTATCGCATGGCTTTCGACTATTTGTGCGGCCAAGGTCCACACTTGAATGAGATCGGTTCGCTTGCAGTCCCGTGCGACTTCGAAGTTGATCTTGCATGTCTGCAGTGGATCGTCGATGTCGAGTTTGTACTTCGACGCGAGCTGGTAACACACCGGCAGAACCCCTGCAAGTCGAGTGTATCGGTCAGGCGAGCGTGGTCAACCAACTTCTGGCCCACGATCCTTCTGCCGGAAATGATCGAGTCGTGTCGAGCGCAACATACTGAATGAGAGAAATTTCTGAAGGCGGAAGAATGCTCACCAGGCATGCTGTATATGAGGACGGCAGCGGAAGGAACATTAAGTTTTTCGAAAGAGGGCGTCGGAAGACCTCGGAGACGTTTCTTCCGACCTTTCTTAGCTTCTCTATAGTAATACGATGATATGGTGACGTCGCTCTCGTTCTTAGCAACGAAGGACGGATATAACGGGCTCATGCCCGTTCGGATATTCAAAGGGTTTCGGTGCGCTTTGATGTAAGCTCCCAAGGCCGACAAACTCCGCGGAGTAACCTGGAAGGGACACCAGAGAATTGTTGCCGCTCAGTGAAACATCGCTTTGAAATGTTGTACCTTCCAATCAATGAAAGTAGAACATCTATGATCTAACAGACTCCAATTGCGGTCGACGAGGAAGACCTACCTCGTTCTCACTCTCCCGCTGATTTTTCTGGATGTATGAGGGTCGCGTGAAGCAGACGAGGAAATGAGCTCCACAGAAACGAGCACCCGAAGTCCTCGGGAACGGCACCGATGAGTCTTGCTCGCCGCCGTAGATGTTCACAGGTACAGGAGGCAACTTGGGCGCGTCGGTTTCGACGTCTCCCTTGTTCGTAGTCTCGAGAGCCTTTATCGACTCGAGAGTCTTGATGAGTTGTTTGAGACAAGGTTCGAGGCAGGGCTGATTTCTGCTGACATGCTGTGTCGACGTAATTCGTAAGACCTTCTGTAACTTCGCCTTTATCGAACTCTGCAGATTGGAACCTCTGGAGAAGGAGAACGTCGGAGGGATGCTCTTTGGATAGTCTTTCGGGAACGTCAGCATGATTTCGATCTCGTACAAACAGACCGTCACGAGGATCAAGCATAATCGTCTTGCTGGATCCAGTTTGATCAGTTCAGTGTACGGGGGTTTGTCGTTCTGGAGATTATTAAACTCGTCCTGCAGCGACAGATTCTCCCGTAGCTCTTCCTGCAACGACACGTTGTCGAGATGATCCGTCGAGGCGTGGCTTGCCATGGGATACAAAACCGAGGTTTGAAGAACCCCACCCTTGACAAGCGACACCAGTTTGCATTCCTTGGCTTTATTCAAGGGTGAGGTGGCGACCTTGACGAAAGGGCTCTGCGATTGGAACGTGTGAATATGGCGGCAGTTCTTGGTGTTCCATATCGAGAGCGCTTGAATATCTTCGGTATGGCTAGAAGTTCGCTCGTAACAAGTCAGGAACGAATCACCCAATGGACTGAATTGCACCGACCACGCGGCGTTGTCGAGCATGAGATGCTTGTCGATATTTGCGGGATTCCCAACACTGCAATCCCACAGTTTCACGGTGGCGTCCTGGCCCGAGGACACCAGATGATGCTCCGAAGTCGGCGACCAATCTATAGAGTAGACCCTGGACGAGTGGCTCCCCACCAACATTGTTGGACAGCTCGGTTTGCGCACATCCCACAAGTAGATACCGTTGTCGTGGCAAGAGGCCACAACATTCTTGTTCAACTTGTTGAATCGCGCGCGCGTCGAAGGCACTAAGGAGCTAAACGCCAGGGCCGGTCTCTGGATGGTCCTGCAGTCCCACATGAGAATATATTCTTCCTGGGCGGTTGTCACGAGCTCGCTCGTGCCTCGGCACCAGTCTACGTCGACGATCGCCCGTTTGTGGGCCAGTTTCTTGATGTGTTCGATTGCCAGAGAATCGTTCTTGCTGCGCACTAGGTATAGCGAATTATCCGACGCTAGAACCACGAGCGACTTGTCCGTTGGATTCCAGGCGGCGTTCACGGTGAACGGATTCATTGGATTCGTAGCCGTCGAATAGGTCAATTTTGTGATGACTCTGTTCTGGTCGGCGTCGTGCAAACTCATCATATGGTAGTCCGCGAGAAACGCGGTCGACGAACTCGGGTCCATCGCCAAAGTCAGAGAAACGTAGGGAAGCTGCACGTAGTTCGGTGTTCGGAGCCATTTGTCCTCTATGATTGAAGACTTCCGAGACCCGGCCGTAGAGAACAGGGGAATCGACGATGATGCGCTCGGCATCGACGATGCCCGATCGCCGTAGAAGAATTTGCGTAACATTTTCTGAAAGGGGAGAAATTTTCAAATTCTGAGCCGGGCATGTGGATTGGCGATCTATTAGAGGATATCGCATCGACACAAACATGAGGGGAGTCACACAATGGTTTGGAGAGTCCTGACGGAGCAATTGACTCCGCCCCCTCCCCGACCCTGCGGAACGAAATGGTACAAGGCGGCGGGCGACAAATGATCGATCGAGATAAATCTGATCTGAGCTTCATAATGCGCACCGGAATGCGGTGCGTGAGAAGTGTCGGGTCCCTTGAATGGAGTCGTAGGCTCGAAATCGGCTCGGCGTCTGTTGATACTGGAGACGCAGAATACAGTTACGACGCACATGAGACTCCGAATCGCAACCGATTTCGGGAGCGGTCGCGCCAAGGGGCAGCCGGGCTCAACAGTGCCCCCGAGACCCTTACACCCAAGAAATCTCCATGGGAAAGCACTTCACCACAACGTGAAGGCCGACCGATCTGGACATTACAATGATCCTTATTCTTTTCCGATTCGGAGACGGATTTTCTCGTTGATGTTGCATTCGATGGGAAGATTTTGGCATCGGAAGATACGGGGAAAGTCCTCGATGGAAACGACCCATGATCACACCACTGTCCCGTCCCCACAAAAAAGCTCTTCGGGGTTCGATCGGAGTTCGAGAAAGAGAGCAAACAAACATGTAAACGATACCCTGTCAGAACATATCCCGGGAAACCCACCTTTATGTTACAATATCACTCGGCTTCTCGAAAAATTCCTTGGCAGGTATTTAGACTTGAGTTCACATTTCTTCCACATATGGTTCCATGGAGGTCTTGCACTGGATATAGACAGTGGGAGTACTTATTCGGACCTCCGGGAGCTCTCTCAGCTGATTGTGAATGGCTTTGGCTACGGAGGCAGATCTTGGCTCCGCGTTACCTCCTCGCCACTGGCATCACGAGCCTCACATGCACATACCTGATGCCGATGGTGATGGTGGGAGAGAGGTGAGATGGAACACCGTAGGAATCGAAGAGTTTCATAAGCATTGGTCCCCTCGAGAATTCTTCCAATTGAAAGGAATCGATGGTCGGTCGAGATTTGACGCTCATGGTCTCGATCCCGAAGCTAAGACGGCTTCCCGGGACGACGGCCATCTATGCAATAGATCGGGTCGAGACTATAAATTTCAAATCGCGGCAGACAGACCGCCGACGGCTCGATCAACGGAGGGTCGACTTCAGTTTCGATTAGACAAACCGAGGTTCACTATCGAGCTTGGCGTCCTGGGAGGTCTGACAGCGGCGGATGAGTCCGGATTCGGATTGCGCCATAAGAGGCAGGACTCCTGGGAGCCTCGCTCTGAATCTGTTCCGCGCGCACGTGTGTATTGTCTACCGTGTGTTTTGTTCGAACGCCGAGCAGTGAGGGGGATATTCTATCGTCCTGTTTCCTCGCCGGTGTCTGCCAGCGTGACTCTGATAAGTGCTCTCAGTTTCAAGCTCCAGGAGTTGTTGTTGGGAGATGGGGAAGTCGAAGCAGCAGCGGAAGAAGCAGAAAAAAGTCATACTGGTGTTTGATGAGAATGAACGAAAAGAGTTCCTTTCGGGATTCTCCAAGAGAAAGAAAGAGAGGCAGCGGAAAGCGAAAGTTAAGGTACTCACTAAGCTAGAAGGTCAGAAGAAGAAGCTCCTCGAAGAAAAACGACACATCATGGCTGACATCGTACGTGAAGGGGGCATAAAGCTTCAGGATCCACAAGATCTTGAGACAGTCGCGGGGCAGGTACGTGTTCTTTTTTTTCTTTTTCATGAACGCGTCCGCACTTTTCCTTGAACATCTTATTCTCTTGGTGACACACTGAAGAGCCTCTTCGCGAGCGATGAGTCTGCCTGCTCCGAGCATAGCTGGAAACTATCTTCTATGAGCGAGATGCTCGCGTGTTCTCATTCAAACGGTTCGGCATGGAAGTTACCGCGAGCCGAAATGTCTACGCTTGTCGTTCTGTGGAAATAATAGTCGCCCGAGTCGTCGATAGTCTACGAAGTACGTCAACTTCCTTGGGGGAGCGAATTCAGCAATGCCCTCTTGTCCGTAGCGGGCATAAGTTTTGGCGCTCTCGCGAGGAACGGGCCATGGCTCCTCCCGACTCGCCCTCGGATCGACACTCGGTGCCCAAGAGATTGAAAATGAGGGGCATCGCACAAAGTCTCTCAAAATCTCTGCGAACCTTGAGATCTTCCGGTTGCTTCGACAGCGCTCGACGAGGAGTTGAAGCTCACGGCGCCGTGAATCGGTGAATGTTCTCGTGAATGCTGCTGTATCCTCATCACTTAGCACTACTATCGGAACTTCGTTTATGAATTCCGAGTCAAAGCATCGCTCAAACGGTTCCGCGCAAGTATCGGACGAATCTGATGTCCTCCTGATTGTCATGCGAGAGATTTATACCAGTGACTGGCTGGACAGCCGGAGCCTCCGATCAAAGCAGACTCCTTCAGTATCGATCACGAACGCTAAACGAACAGCGTTAGATATATTCTGCGGGATCGAGCTTCTCCCGGCAAGTTATCCTTTCCTTCCGGCGTTCCTCGTCTCGGGCATCTGGATCTCTGTATGATCTTGGAATCCCATTTTTGAATTATTAGCCGAGCGGAAAACTCCTGAATTTGTGCGGGCATGGCGTGGGAACCCCCGGCGTCGCAAACGGCCTACTTCTCGGCTGACGTTTCCCATCACGAATCAGATCGAAGGGAAAACCTAACCAATCCTCTCGGGAAGTCTCGCTGGGAAATATCTGGACGCCAGCGAACAAAGTTCATGGACCTATCGGATCGAGGTTCCCCTGAGACGATTTCGCGTCAGCTGTCTCAGATAATTTCCGGGAGATTTTCTCTTTCATCGAAGTATCCAGAGGATTCGGACTCCGGATCTGTATCGCGGCTACCGATGCTGTCTTTCTGGAAATCGATTTCTCCGACGTGATACCACTCGGAGTTATCAGAATCTGATGTTTTCAGACAAGCACAGTGGACTGCGGCGGTCATATAGTCACCATCACGGAGTTCGATGACGCTTACGGCGCTGTGAAAGAACCGGAGAACGAATTTGAAATCGCTGATGATGGAATTATCGACGAGTCCGATCTCATGGCAGGTGGGAGCTCCGGAGATAAACAGAAGGTACGGTGGGAGGGAGCCGAAACTATCATGAAACACTGTTCCGTAGGTACTTCATTTTCTCAACCGTTTTCTCCTCTCCAGATACGCTTGAAGCAAATCACGCAGGAGCTGAAGGACTTCGGCGTCCAAATTCAACCAATCAAAGCCGCGTTGAACGAGAAGGCTAAAAAACTCAAGAAGAGGAGACAGAAGCTTGAGGAAAAACGCGAGCAGGAGTCCATTCGGAATAAGAAGAACAAATTCGGACAGAAAGCCGTGAAAGGCTTCAAACGGAAAAAAGTCAATAAACATCTGATTAAGGATTAGACAGCGAAAACACTCAATTCCCCGGCTTTTGTTGTGCTTCTGTTGCCCTTATGACTCGATTGTACTCCAATTGTGATGGATGAATATCGAAACACTAACGTCGAGATTCTTGGAGGCCGAGGACGCTCAATCTCCCTCCGCTGGGCTTCTGCTTCTGACTCCGCTCCGAGTGCCTATTATCGACGATCTCCTCGCCTGCAACGGAATAATCATGGTCTGAGGCGTCGCTCGGTCATCGGCGAACTCTACCTGCCTGCTCAAGCGTCGGCAAGCTTTTCTCGGTAATCAATGAACGCAAATCTCGATTGCACCCGATTCTTGGTCCGTACGGCGTTTCGAAGCAGGCGGTCTCCGGCGGTTTGCGGATTCAAATTTTGGCGCCAGCTGACGGACGCCCCGACGAGCTGCATCGATCGACGAGCTCGTCTGACAGTCGTCGAATCTTCTCAGTTGTTAGTGGGAGAAGTGTATGGTATCTGTAGTTGGAGAGCTATGCCAGCTGTTGGCTAGCGGAAAGTCCCGGAGAGTGGGTGGACTCCGGTCGACATGAATTACATGAAGAAGCTGCTGGGGGGCGGAGGTGCAGGCCCCCCTCCGCTTGCGAACCAGGGACCTCAGGACTCTCTGGGGCTCATGCATCTGAATAAACTCTACGCTGAGTTCGCGGAACCCCCTGAACCGCAAAGAGCATCTGACCAGCAAGTGAAACTCTACAACATGCTTCCATTGTTTTGCAAGGTTTTTGACAACTGTCCGGCGGAATCGATGCAAGCCAGCTTCGACAACATCGTTCCATTCGCGAGATCGGTCGCCAAGCTCCTCGTAAGTGTTCTGACACAGACCCTACGACCGTGTATCAATTCAGCAGATGAGGCAACGGAGATGAGCGAAACATTCCAGCGCGATATCGGTGGGGTCCGGGCCAGGTTTCGGCGCATGAGTTCGACGAACGAAAGACAACAGGGTCTACTGACTGAGTCAAAGCAGGAGAGGGAGAGAGCGAGTGAGCGAGCGTGCGTGCGTGACTGGGGTCCGAGATCCAATTCTACGGGGCACGCTCTGGAGTCTTCCTGCTTGACACGCGCGTAGAGCTCCTCTTCGAAGGAGCGATTTTTCTCGACGCCCACGGCCACTTGTTTCACGCCAACGGTGTCCTTGAATCGGGACCAGCCGAGCATGGAACGCGCGCAGCCCCGATCGACCTGTCATGATATTCTCGAGCGTCCCTCGATCATTAGGAAAAAGTTTACATTGCTTCGACGACGGCCATCGAATGACTCTACGGTCATCTGACGGTATACCACGAGCGGTGATACGCGAGACCAACGACCGATATCCGTGTACCTTACTCAGCTGTTGCGGAAACGACTCGATCGAAAGCCGTAAAGCTGACCGATATTTTGGTCGAGGACCCGTCCTTTTCGCGAATATTCTGCGAGCTCCGCTCCCTCGCAGAATATTCACTAATTCACCCTCGAGCGCGTGAGGTTGTTGGCGACAGTATCACGTGATTCTTTAAACGAGCTCGATTCGACTATTGTTAACATCAAAGCGAGATCGGTTACGTTGCTCTCAGAAACGCAGGAGACCATAACGAGTATCAATCGTATGGACGAATAGATTCGCTGTTTCCCAGAACGCAGTCCAATACATGTCCCCATCCTCTCGTTAGCCGAATAATCTGGCCCGAAATTGGGAACACGGTTTTCCTGCCTCATATTCATCTGCTTTTAGCAGATTGTTCTCGGAGGAGGTCTAGAAACTGAAATTGATTGAACCCTCAACGATTAGGGACGCTCCCGGAGGTAGATTTGTTCGTGGCACTATTGCTCCGCCGTCGGCATTCCCTCTCAATATTCGAGTGCATCGCGGACGTGTCCGACTCGGAAGCGAGCTCATCGGGGGCGTCGAGGATTCGGAGCGGGGGAGCCCGGATGGAGTTGAGAATATTATTGGCAAAGATCGAGGGCTCTCTTGTCGGGATATCATCCGAGCCCGAGTCGAGAAGATTCGAGAACACTTCGAAAGTTCAAAGTTCCACGGAGTCCGTAGCTTTGTGAGTAGGCGGCTGGCAGCTATTCAGTGGAATTTCGTAACCAAAGTCATACCCTTGAAATCCAGAGGGGGACTTTTGATTTCGGATCGTATCCCCCCTAATCTCGCGTCGGGCATTCGGTTTGCATGTAAATGAAGCCGTTCTTCATCGTGTAGGATAGAGGCTGAATATCGGAGCCGAATGAGGGTACAAGACTCCTCGGGGAGATCCCGGAGCTTATCGAAGAGCGAGCCAGCGGAGCTCTTTCTGTAGGCTACTCCAAAAATATTCCGATTCCGAAGGAACGAGCTCGGATCGGAGACTACTCCTTCCAAGAAAGCTCGGGCCAGGCGACCTTTCTGATTGCTCCGGGATAAAATTGGCGGATTCGGCAAGTTGAATACAAGCCTCATCACTGCCAGTGGCGAGATTAGTCGCTGAAGCTTTCGAGGATGATGACGGAGGGTACGAGCGGAGCGTTCAGCGAGACACACCCTTTTTTCTGTCATGCTCTAAGGAGCTAGTTCGAATGGAGACGATAGAGCCGGCGACGCGGCGACTTCCTCGATCGAGGTCGGATTTGAAACCCTCCGAGAGGAGTTGATCGTGTCAATAATCAGCGCAGACTAGCGAAAGTGGAATTAGGCGTATTTTCCGGATAGGCGCCCCTGGGAACGAGTCCAGCTCGCAAAAAGCAGCGTCAGATTTCGAGCCGCCGAAGCGCCGGAAGAACTTGTCCCAAACCTTGCGAAAGTCACGTTGGTCGAGCGAACCCAGACCTGCCGACCATTAAGAAGTCACGGACTCGGGGAGCCTCCCGCGAACGTTCGAGAGCGTGTCCATGGCTGCTTTGAACTCACGGGACACGATTTTCTTCCGTACAAGGTCGACTCTTGTTTTCTTGTTCCCCGAGGCGAGATCGAAATATATGTATGTTCTCTCGAGAGCCTATGTCTGTCTCAGAGCACTAGAAGGAAATCCCGAGGCGGAATCGCGACTATTCGAGGGCCGAGCCTTGGGCACAGACGTCGGCGGAGAAAAAAAGCAGAGCAAGAGATGTCCGACTCTAAGCGGTCGCAAACTTCTTTCACAGGTGAGCGAAGTGCGACTTAGGGCTTCGAATCAATCAACAGAAATGGCTTCTTCGGCTATCGCGCAATATCTCGAGCTGTCAGCGAGCCCTGACGAAAATGCGTCCCAAGGATGGCTGCTCCTGACGGCTATAAACCTGCTGGCCGGAGCGGGACCACGCGTCGTCGAAGCCCTCGCGAGTCAGTCACTACCGTCGACGCTCGTGAAATGTCTGTATTTATTCTTCGATCTGCCACCTCTCAAAGAGAACAACAGCTCGACCGGAGCCGAAACCATCAAACAACAACTCGAAGCCGAGAAAGAAGTGAACAGCAATAACGCTGTGGTTTCGCAACAGCCTAGTGAGAGCATCTCGAGTCACGAGAGGCGAATTCTGCTGCAGAAGGTAAGTCGCTGCTCCCTTATTCCTCCCCTGAGCGAACATTCGTGTTCTAAAAACATTCCCCCGCTTGGTTGGGTCGGCCGTCCGAATTCCGGAATGAAGTCGACGAAATCCGAGCCTGAGGCGGTCCCTTGAGCGAGCGCGGTGTCTCGTTGTGCAGTCACTTGTCCTTCGCCGGAGTGTTCGCTCTCTGTGAGTCGAGTGATTTCAGAACTAATGCATCCGAATGACGCTCCGCGAACGCACAATAGGGCTTGCGTCACTGGCGTAACACCGGCTGCATGACCAATTCTCGAGCTCAGACTCCATCCGTCGTGAAGTCTCGGGGGTTCGGCATCGAAAAGTCTTAGGCAATCATGGGAGTTCGATGTTTTGTTTGCAATTGCGCTTAGGCAATGTGTTCCTCAGCGAGTTGTCCCAAGGTTATTCCAGAAGACGTGGGAATATTGGGTATTCAGGACAATTCTTTCTATCGTTTTCCTTCCCGTAGTCCAGATCAGACAGATGGAGCTCCGGGCAGGCGTATCCAGGATCCGGGCTCCGCCCGCCCTGGGTATGCCTCTCATTTCGGAGGGGAGACGGGAGTTCTGACCGTAAAGAGCATGCGATCTCGACCAAACCAATGCCACGACGAACAGCTTGCCGTTCTTTGGAGAGCTGCACGTGGAAAACTCACTTGGAAGCCACTCAAATCCCGGTAATGGGACGTGGGAGCCAGGCTCGTCATTCACTTTCCCGCTATGCAATTTGATTTTTCCCGAGAAATCGGACCAGAAATTTTCCTGATCTTCTCCAGGACGGGGTGTTTTCATCGGAATCTCGGACGATGGCGCCACTCCTTTTTTGAACAATGGATTCCGAAACACGGGGTTAGTTTTGGAGGGACTGGGCAGATCTATTGTCGACTTGGATATTGGTAGAACCAAAGAGGAAGGGGGAATCGAACTTTTCTAGTCGGAAAAATCTCATATTAGTCATCGAGTTTCGATCGAACCGCGTGCTGCCATTGCGGGTGACCTACGCGGATGGAAACCCCGGTGACTCTTCCCCTTACCAGGAAATCCCGTCGTCGTTATCAGATCAGCGGATAGCGAGACCGATCGGCTTCTTCATTGGTGTGCGCGGATTATATCCGCGAATCGCGGAACTTGGAACGTCTCATCAACTAAATATATTCGCGGGCAGATGCAAGGAGGCCCGACTATCCGAGGCTCATAACTCTAGATACGGTCAAAAGAGACAAGATTGGGATCGTCGACGGCTGTGGAGAATGATCTTGAAGTATTTCAACATTCTCGGTCAGAATGCTTTTTCTCTCGGTGGATCGAAACTCGGAGATCATTTTCTCGATCATGCGTGCGTCTAGAGTTTAACGGGGGACCGTATCCGCTCAGGATCGGGAGGCCTCAGTCGAAGATGAGATCTGAAAGATTAGCTATTCTCGTCGAGAAATCCCGAATGTTCGAGGAAAGCTCCGGGCTGAAGATCTTCCCCCAAAATCCCCCAAAAATCCCTCAACAGTCTCGATCCTGTACCGGGCGTCCGTTCAGCCATCCGTGTGGAAAAACCTCTCATCCGGAGAGCTGAGGCCTGACTCGGAACAGCCCAGGAGAGCATTCCCCCTCTAACCGCGTTCAGAGGACTGTCGCGAGATACGCTGCTGAATCGATTGTTTCAAAATCCATTCGGCGCAGCGAATCGCTAGAATCATCCCCTTAGATACGCATCCGAGTCAGCGGAAGACGGCTTGAGTACACTTCAGAGGGGGAGCCTTAAAGATCTTGAAAGGCGAAGCCGCTAGCTCTCCAAACTTCCCCATCGCATGGATCTATGTGGAGAAGAACATTTGTGGAGAGCGTCTGCATACCTCGGGTTGAACGCTCATCGACTAATCGATCGGGATCTTGTGCTCTCGTTTCGAATTGACAGCACTGTCACTTCAAAATTCTGGGCACGAATATTTGAAAATCTCGAGAACACGTTCTTGAAAAACGATAAATTCACAGAGCTAATGTTGCCAAGTCGCATCTCCAGCAGACTCACGTAGCGCGATCTTGTCGCTGCTGGGGATGAACAAGCCGAGATATAATTCTCTCAGCGAACGACCTATGAATTCATGACGTCTCTATCAGGTGACCGAGACCTCCAGTCGATATCTAATGAGGGAGCTCCGGGATTCATTGCTGAGAGCGTAATCTATGAGCCGGACGATATGATGAACTCGAAATCTCAGTCAATATTCCATGCGGATATCACGAAAATCGATTTGTGAAGATCATTCCTCCAATTCCGATGTCGGCCACCATTTACCAAGCGAGCATCCAAAAAACGGGGGAATGTCATATATCCCCTCGATTTCCCCCTGTGCCAAACTTTCCCGGGGACCGCAGTCATCAGCGAATGTGCACTTGTTCGCAACCTCTCCCGAAGCCCCCTGAGAACTCAATACCGGTAGAGCTGTGAATCATTCACGCAGCTGATCTCTCGTGTATATGAGGCCGGTAATTATTCATGCAGTTGATTCATGAACAACGAGCTCCAACGAGCCATGGCGACAAGCAATTAGTCGCTCGGCGGCAGAATTGAAACTTTCCCCGTTGAATTACATCGAGACACACACCGCGCCATGTATCGAATTTCCCATGGATTGCTCGGAAGGGATCTCCGGGGGTAGGGGGGAAGGATTTGAAACGCGGGAATAACTCCTCTTTGCAAAAAGATATCCGTCATTCGGACGGAGGCTCGCTCGCCGGTACAGCCCGGAGAGGAATGTGTGGAACACTTGGGTAGGGGGGAATAATTTCGTGAAAGGATGCCAGTCGATTGGACGATCCAAGATATTCTCCTCTGTGAGAAGAGCTTGGGCTGGGTCGGAGACAACGAGCTCGTGGGGAAAATTGAGGGTTCGTGCTTTTTTCCACTTCCATTGGGTGGGCACCTGAGATTAACATATTTCCTGTCCGCATCTGTTGCAGGTTTTTGTTCAGCTGGTGATGCGCTTATGCAGCCAGCCGTGCTCTTCCGAAGAGCTGGCGCATAGGGACGACCTGGCATTGCTTTTTTCGGCCATTACAACATGGTGCCCCGAGCACAACTCGCAGTGGAGGAAAAGCGCGGGCGAGGTGCTCATGACGGTCTCGCGCCATGGCCTCACAAAAAACGTCATCGGCTACATTCACAAACAGCAATGCATTTCGAATTGTGTCGATAACATGCGCAAAAGGATGCACGAGTTCAGCCCGAGCCAGAAGCTCGAAATGTTCGTGTGCCTGTTCTGCCTGCTCAAAGATTCAAGTGAAATCAGTCATGTGCTGCTTGAGGATTTCAATCATTGCGCCGGCTACAGCCTCGTCGCCGACTTCATGCTACGCTGCGAGACGGATCTCAACGAGGAAAACGAACAGGTCCTATCAAGCCTCAGCGTCCTACTTACGTCGCTCGTTACTTGCGGTACGGAACCTCTCAAGCCGACGCACCCTCAGAGCCTATTCCACATGGACGGCTTTGTTTTACCACCCGCCTTGGCGAGAGGAACCTGTGTGCGAAACCTGGAAGCCTACAAAGTGATTGAGATCTGTTTCTGGCGGGCACAGCAGGAGAGGCTCCAACAGCTTTTGCTCGACAGCATATCAAGCATCTTCAGAGCGGATCCAGCGAACTACTTCATTTTGGAGCCGACGTTCCCCCTTTCGGCCCTCCTGGAAAAAATGCACAACAAACCAAAAAAAATCCGCTGTGGTCTGTTGAAACTAGTCGAGTTCGTGCCGGAAAACCTCCGTTTCGTGCCATGCAAGGAGATCGTCGCCATCAGCACTCTCATCAAAGACCCGGAATGCACCGAGGAAACGGGTCTGCTGTGTTTGGAAAGCCTGCAAAACATACTCAAGGTCAAAGCCTCGCTCTTTAGAAATGTTTTCCGGGAAGTGGGTCTTCTCGAAGTTCTCGTGTTGAAACTGCAAATCTGCGACGAGGAACAAGAGCTCGTGCAGCCAATTATCGACATACTGCAGGTTCGTGCGATTTTCTCGGTTAATTTTTTTCCGTACACCGCAGGTCTTTCCGATATCCTTTTCACTAGAGCTCGTCCCTGTTTCGAACGCGACACGCGGCTTTCCACAGGGAGGTTGACGGGGGAAAGGATGAGCAACCGAAAAGCATCGAAAAACAACTTCCTCTTGCCAACATAAGGGATATGGGATACCGCAATGAAAAGAGCTGTTCCGACGTCTGGGAATTACGGCGCTCAAAGACATGCGGCATGTACCTGCAGATATTCCAGAGCCATCCCGGGTGATAAAACGGCTATCCATTCCTCCTACAGGCTTTGCTATCCGGATCTCAGGAGAATTGCGGGGTGTTCCGCGACTCGGGCGGGATGAAGTGTGCACAGGGCCTCCTACGGTCGGCGAGATGTAGACCTCTGGCCCTGAATCTATTCAAAGAAGTCATGACGTCATCAGCAAATCCCGACGAAGACATGACCTGGCTCCTCGCAGCCGTTCAGACTGCCGATGCTCAGGTCGAGTTGAAAATCGACTGCCTTCTGACTCTCTACGCTTTGCTGGGAGAGAGGTGAGTCCTTGCGAGCCCGAGGAACAGATGATCCCATGTCTCTGGATGATTACGGGAACACGCCATCAGCGAGACGCAGCTGCTTCGTTCCATAACGTTCGGGAACTTCGGGAGCTCTACTTCCCAGGGCGGACAACGAGTTTTAATATTCGAACTTTCTCCCGACAGCCATCGGATTCGGAGTGTATTCAGAAAAGTTGGGGGCTTCGTGTACTTGATGACGTTGTTGGCGTGTCTCGAGGGTTGTCTATCACCAACCCAGTCGCCCCACAGACCCCCGAAACTCATGAAACTTATCCGTACGATCTTCGACACAATCGCCATCGCGATGCGATACGAGCCCGCGAACGCCAAAGTATTCGCCAGTGAGATCTGCCAGACGAACTCGCTTGTGGACTCGGTGAAACTGCTCGGCTCTTTCGCTTGCAGCGACGCAACGAAAACCCTCGAGCAAATCCACTCTGTGTTCACGAGCAATTGCGAGGACAAGGTGACCGAATACGACCATCTGGACCTGTGCACACTGGTCATGAGATATCTGTACGACATGGCCATCGACTGCAACTTGACAGCGTCGAAACTGCAACTTCAAACTGGTAAGTTTGCCACTTCCGATTGCGTATAGACCGGGGTGTCCGGCGACGCCAACGTTTCTACAATGTGGCAGGTTCTCGACGTGCTGTTCAAATATTCGTGGATTAGTCAAACTCAATTTCACTCGAGAATGCAAGAGCTTCTCGAGTCGCTGGGCACTCGATTCGCTTCGCTCACCCACCGCTTGCTAGCACATTCGAGCTACAAGGTCAAATTTTCCGTACGACGAATTAATGAGCGGGATTGATAATGAGAGAATAAACTTCGAATCTGGTCATCATGCCCGAGCGAGGTCAGCGGGATTATAGCCCACCGCCTCCATCGCCCGAGCTCCGGCAATAATAATCGATAGCGAGTCCGACGAGACGCTTGTTCGAGGACGGGGTTCCTCGCACTGTTCGAGCATTACGCAGAGAAATATAGGGTTGCGATCGAGATCTCCCGCCCCCTTTCCGGGGCTCGCCGCTTCCGCTCGTGCTTGCGCGGCGCCTAGGATTTGAGGTTTTCACAGGTAGAGAGTCCCGAAGAATCGAAGATGAAAAATCCGTTGTCAGAGCTCCATGTTCGCACCTCAATGAGCGAAAGTGCCCACGGGGTTCGGAGACAGCTTCTGAGGGAACTTTGTGCGGGAACTCTGTTTGCGGACTGAGTCGACTCTGCACCGAACCAGGCTCAAAGAAGCTCGCTCAGGATCTGCCGACTGTTTCCAGGTCAGAACTCGCACTGTACCGTCCTCCCGCCAGGAGCAGCATTGTGTTTGACGTTACCGCCAACGGAAGATCCCCTCATTGTGCACTCGGGGGTCGTCACAGGACTCCTTCAAATACTACCGTCGCTTTGCGACAAGAACGTACAACTCTACATGGCTGAATTACTTAGATCTTTGGTCAGGACCGAAAGGAATCAACAGATCATGTGTCAGGCAGGATTAGCTGGTGAGCCAATATTTCATGGGAACCTGGGGAAGCTCAATAATTGAAGCCCAAAGTATCGTTGTCGTTCCCCGATCGTCTTTTCTGGAAAGAAGCGGGAAAATATCCCTCGACACGCTCTCGATAGCGCCGATGGTTCACAGTGAGGACTCCTCACCGTACCGATCGAAGTGTCGTGACGATTAGAGAATGGTCTATGTCATCGAGGTAGCGTGCATTCGTTTGATTATTCGTGTGATTTCAGGTCAACTGGTGTCGAAGATGAAATCGGCACTCGAAGACGAAAGTCATCAACTCCATATCGTCACCCAATACATGCTGGAACGTTTAGCGGCCCAGGCACTCGAGCCGCGGGAGCTCCGGGCGTTTCTGCGTCTTGGGAGTCCTCTACGCTGTGATGGACCCTTCAAGGACGGTGGATCCGTTCCTTTAACCCGAATCAAAACCCTGGTTAGTTCAGAATGAAATTCTTTTGGAGAGCTCTGATCTGTTGGATAACTGAGTCCGCAGTGTGGCTCGGGCCCTTGTGATCTCTGATCTCTTGCTTCGGCTGTGCCATGGTGTCAATTCACTGTCGAGAAATCCGGAGATGTCGGACTGAGACTCGGGAAATGATCGAGATCGGTGCTTACGAAGACCTTTCCCAACTTTCCAACGAATAAGAATTACCGCTCGAATGCATTTGATCCCTTACGCCGAGTCCGTGCCCGATACGACCTCCTTCGAGGTTTGCACACCGTAGCAAGATTTTTCTCCAAAGGTTTCCGAAAGTTCAGCTCTATCGAAGGAAGTCGACCATGGTCGACGCTCTTAGGGAAAGGGATCCGATCAATCCTAAGAATAGGATGAATCCCAGGAATAGGATGAATCCCCGGAATTCAATGAATTCTCGAAACGATTCCATGATTTTAGCTGAATCGATGCTCCACAGGTATCGATGACAACCCCAAAAGACGGACCGACCTTGTCCACGGTGTCGGCGGCGTTTGTCGAGTTCTCCCTCCAGCGCGAGGGCTTTTCGTGTTTGTTTCTTCCCTCGATCGCTCCGCAGTCCCTCTCCGGACCTGCGATGGTCGGAGTTGGAGCTGCCGCTGATAACGTGTTGGGTGGAATCGGAGCCGGAGACCGAGTTTTTCCACCCCAGACAGGTTCGTGAACTTTTCATCTTCGCGCAACACGTTCCGGTGTTGCTCCTTGCCGGTATCGAGCAGCATGAAATCGAGCAGAGAGTAAACACCCTTTTCTCGATCCGCGCGCAGGTCTGACGTTTTCAACTTGGTTCCTGGTGGAGCGTTTCAGTGGCTCACACCCTGTGCGACTACTCAATATAACTCGCCAAATGCGTGAAGACCAAACACCGTGTCTAGCGCTCGAACTCTCCGAGAGGGAAGTTCGTGTCCAGGTGAACCAGGACAGAGCACAGTATCCCGTCGGAAGAGGCATTGCCTGTGGAGAATGGCATCATATCGTCGTATGCCTCACGAGATCGGTCCTCAAGAACAACTGCTCGGTCGGACTCTTCTTCGACGGGGTGCAGCTGCACGGGAATCACAGTAAACTCAGTTACGTGCCACAATACTCTGGAGCAGGATCTCAAAATATTTTCGCCATAATCGGTAAGTAGACATCCGCCCGAAAAGGGGCTGCCTGACCCGCCCGCCGGCGTGGAATCGATTCCGTGTCCCCATCGACCTAATTGAACTTCTTGTCGAAGGTACGACACCGCTGCAACGCCAAGTGTGCGGTCTAACCTGGAAGCAGGGACCGTGCCATCTTATAGAAGAGCCGCTCGGGGAACAATCCGTAGTGCAGCTGTTTACCCTGGGTCCCGCCTACGTGGGTTCACTGCAGAGCCAGTCGGGACTCCAGGTTCAGGAAGAGAGAATTACATTTGGGCTAAACGCGACTGCCGTGTCCACCATGACTCTGGCCAAGATGCGACGCGTGTACTCGAAGCACGACTGCAAAGCGATCGCCAAGATGCTGGGGCTGTCTTCTCACGAGAACGCCACCCCCATCAGGATATTGCACAACTCTGCCGCCCATCTGGCTGGGGCAGCCCGATCGCTTGGAGCAGTTCTCATAGGTAAGAGCCACGGCTCTCCTCCGGTTTCCGCCAAAGGTTCCGGAAGGATGTGCCAGCGTTCGCGAGCCTTGAAAGGAGCGGAATCAGAGCATAGCGTTTCCTGACAGCCTTTCGTTCCCTTGCAGGATACCTAGGCGCGCGAACTTTCGTGCCGCGACCCGTAGCGGTCACGATGGAGAGCGTAGGAGGCACTGCAGCTCTTCTAGCGCTAGTCTCTTACGCGAGCAACGTAGAGTCGCTGTACGCGTCACTAAAGGTCCTGGTTTGCGTGGTGAGAGCTAACCGTCCCGCGCAACAGGCCATGGAACGCACTAAAGGATACCAAATAGTCGCCGCTCTCCTCAAGAACAAGAGCGCACTGCTTAACTGCCACATACTGCACCTAGCCCTGAGTCTTGTGGGAAGCGCCGAATGCGCGCCGACCGCCGCCGGTCGGAATTCCATCGCGCCTTTTCGGGACATTCTATGCAACCTCGACGTGTGGAGGGACTCCGCACAAGATCTGCAGCGGTCTCTCTACGAACATCTGCTGCAAGTGGCATCCGATTCGCCGGAAACCGTGACGCTGATGAGGGAACTGGACCTTGTATCGCGCCTCATCTTCACGCTATCGGAACCCTCCAGAATGGCGCCTCAAACCGTAGCGACTTGCTGTGATCTTCTCAGAGTGAGTACGCATGGTCGTCGCACGGTCGGTCCCGTGAAGCGGTGGGGGGGGACAGGGGCGGATCCGAGGGGAAGGAGGGTGGGTGGGGGGCTGTGGCGGATTTAGGTAGGAGGGGTGGGATGTGGCGGATCCTGGGGGGAGGCGGGGGGCGGATTCAGGGAGAAGAGGGGGGAGCTGTGGCGGATCCGGGTAGGAGGGGGGATTGCCCCCTTCCCCCGCCCTCCGAAGACCGGATCCACCCCAAGAACTCTCCCAAAAAGCTCCGGTTCGGGAAATCTCATGATACGATCGCTCGGTTTCTTTTCAGTTAATGCTACAAAACACGCCTCGGAACTGTGACATTCTACGATTCGGTCAATTCATAATCTGGACGCTGCCACCACGACAGCAGGAAAGCGTGTTCACGACTCTTCGGGTCAAGTGCCTGCAGCTCTTGAGCGCCATGGTTGCGCCGTCCAAATCGGCGGTCAACTCGGGCCTCTGTGAACAGATTTCCAAAGTTCTCGGCTTGGACTGGTTCGTCGTGCTGCTCTCCGCTCACCTCGACCTCAGTACCAACCTGATCGCACTTCAACTGCTGTCGTGCATGCTGTGCCACCAGAATCTTTTGCTGAAATTCCGCGACGCTAGCAGTAACGGAGGATGGCTGCAGGAAACCGACCCGGTCCTGTTGGGCCTTCGCGTGAACACTCAATTGCGCAACATCAAACAGGAAGTCCTCCATATCGGTGGTTTCCAATCGCTCGAGTGGACCCTCGCCAAGATCCATCCTAACGCCACCTTCAGCAACATGCTCCTAGCGATGTTGTTCTCGAGACCAGTGACGAAACTACCGTGCGAAAGCGTCGAGACGGGCCCGATCAACAACGACGTGTTCGTCACGCTCTGCGCGGTCCTTAGATCGATGCTCAGTAGCGGCAACGACAAGGCAGCCATGGCCATTCTGGAAGTAATTTCGAGGCGGTAAGCCGATATTCCGGGCCAATGGTCCCCCCAAGGCTCCGGTTGAGACTTGTGACGCGTAATTCTCGAGAAGTATGCACGGGTGCCTTTTATGGCGGTCACTGAAGGGTCTCGGGAAATCTCTTCCCTTACAGATGGAGCGATTTGACCGCGTGTTGTATCAACAACGAGGAATCAATCTCAGCTTTGGCGTCAATTGTGTTCCCACCGGGAAATCCGAACCAAGTTCCCGAATTCGAATCGAACAAAGACGAAAACCTCCATTCAGGAGAAAGTGTCGGGTTGACATTTGCACTTCTCACTAAGCTCATGCTCGAGGGACTGGCGTCGGTGAGTAGCCCGGCAGAAATCCTGATTTGCAAAATCAAGTGACTCCAATCGGTCCCGCCCTATAGAGGGCATTGGAGAGAGAGAGTTGTCGTCGATCTGTTCTTCAATGCGTTGCTTCATTCGTTCCGCAGGTGCAAAACGCACACATCTTAGACTATCTGATGAACATCGAGTACTTGGCGAGCTCAGTGGAGCAGCAGCGCCAGTTCAGCACGGTTCTATTATCGAACACCATAGCCGAAATCGGAGATCTCAGCGGAATTTCTCAAAATAATCTCACTCAATTCATTGTCGGTCTTGTCGACAAATTGTGGCTCGGTTTGTACACTGCACCGGGAATAAGCGTCGTCAACTTTGTGTCCAACGTGCTCCTGAACAGTCAAGGAGTTCGGAACTACGATATACTGCGATCGATGGGCCGTTCCGTGCTATTTGTTCTCTCCCGAGACTGTGAGCTGCAAGAGAAACTTCAGTGTCTCCATCTGCTCATAAGCAACGAGGCTCTGCTGCATCTAGACGCGGAAATTCTTGCCGCCCTGACATATTCTCTCGCACAGTTTGCTCAACAGTGCCCTCTACCAATGGAAACGGTAAGTTCCGGACCTCGTTTCGGGGCTCCACGAAATTGATAGTTTGTGTGTCTTCTCAGCCAAAAATGGGAAGGTAGTTTTCGACGGTGGACAAATCTCCATTATATCCTTTACGGAGAACTGTGTGGTATTTTTTCCATTTTGGTCTCCCCGCAATATTTTACTGTAGTTTTCAAATTCGGTGTATGCCGCTTCGCCCAGACTGCCATGTAAGAATTCCCTCCAGGTCCGTCGGACGACGATCCACATTTCGCCGAGTGCAAGCATCGCTCTAGCCTCGCAGGACGAAGCGAACCTGTTGATGGCGGCAGCTGCTTGCAAGCTTTGGCAAATGATTTACCAGAGAAGCAAAACGCAGTTGGAGGATATTTGCCGCTTCCAATTCAATACTTCTAACAACACGACGCAAAATACCGGATCGACGCAGACTACGAGCGAGGCTCCCGACCTCTGTCAACTGTGGGAGACTAGCAGAGAGCCCCTAAATAAAGCGTGGATCGCCTTCCTCGAAGCCGAACGAGCTGGAAAAGGGAGCATGATAGGATCGGCGGACATCTCATCGCAGATCCAGAATAGAGTGTCGAGACTGACGGGAGGCCTGAGTAGGCTAGCGAGTAGGAAAATTCGCAAAGTGGCCGTGGTCGCGAGTGCGGCGCACACTCTGGCGTCCTCTGGCGTGAACGCGGAGAGCATGACGATCAGCAGCATGGCCGTCAACGCAGCTACAGCCACTGTCACTCAGAAGATCACTCAGTCGATGAACAGCAATAGCAGCACCGTCACGAGTCTATCGCACGACGAGTATGATATGTGGACACAGGTGAGTTCGCTCGCCGGCCTCTCCTTTCCAGCGCCGGAATAAAATATCATTCCAGAAACGTAATCAATGAAATTAAGGAATCTCCCATGAGTTTTTTGAACAAAAAAAACGTACATCCGATACATTGGTTTCGATTACGTAAAACCGAAACTTCTGCTCTACTCCGGAGTTATCGCGGACGTTGATGGAATCTCGCAGCTCGACCCGTGGAGAATGCGTCGGTAATCCCCGGTCGAGCAGAAGGGAAAAAGAGAAAGCTCCTCTTATTGGTACAAGAGAATCGACGGCATTGGCGACAGATCGGCGCTAGAGCCCCGGGGAAAATCGAGCTTCCCCCACGAGCTAATCCTCGTCGAGGACGACCGAATTACGGTCAACAATTATTATGTTCGGACTCGCCGCCGACGCTTGGAGTAGCAGAGCTGGATAGAGGAAAGCAATTATCTTACGTGTTCTCCCTCGTTGCAGATACACATTGCCATCGTACAGGATTTAGTTGACTTGAGGCTGAAACAACTGTACGCGAATTCGTCCCATCTGCATAAGCACGTCATGCAGGAGTGGACTCGAATGGAGAGCGAGCTGAGCGAGGAAAGAGGGCTATGGGGTCCTATGGAAGCTTCGTCGCTCGACAAGTGGATGCTCGATTCGACAGAGAGTGGACCTTGCCGTATGCGCAAGAGAACTTTGAAGAACAAACTTTTCTACCAACACTATCCGTACATTGAACAACAGCCCAATCAGCAGCTAAAGTATAAGGTATGCATCTTCCGACTAATTTATGATAATCGTTCTTGAGTGTCGATCGCGGTCGACCCTAGCGACCCGAACCTCGCCGCTATTCCTACGGTTCTCGATTCTCTCTCCGAACAGGTGGCAACTAGCTTAGATAGCAAACTGTACTACGAGCAGCTGGGTCAACTGCTCGGTAGTGGTCCCAACTCCCCCGACGCACAAAGTGCTGGGCGTCAACAGTCCTTACCATCGACGTCGAGCGATTACGAAGGTTTGGTAAACGTCGGGGGAGCTAGCAGCAACAAACAACTATTGTCCGAAAGCGACGACGAAGAGGGCGATAACGCCAGCCAAGGAGACGGTTCGCCGCACAGCCAGTCGGTCGCGCGTCTACTCGAAGAAGGCGAAAAAATAACCCACATGTTCCGCTGTGCTCGAGTTCAGGGACTCGACACTTGGGAGGGTTTGCTCTTGTTCGGAAAAGAGCACTTCTATGTCGTCGACGGTTTCACTCTTTTGAAGACCCGAGAGATCCGCGACATCGATTCGATCCCGGAACGAATGCACGAGCCCATCATTCCGAACTGCACTCCGATCACATCCTCGTCCCAAGTGACCGTGAAGCAGGGAAGGATGTGCTCTAAATTCAGTTATGACGACATTCGCGAGGTCCACAAACGCCGCTACCTCCTGCAACCGATCGCGTTGGAGGTCTTTTCGGCGGATGGGAGGAATTATCTTCTCGTGTTTCCTCGAAAAGTGCGTAATAAAGTCTACGCGCGCTTTTTGTCCTTGGCCACGGGAATCACCGACTCAGCACACGAGAGTCTGGCGGGTCAGAGGAGATCCGCCAACGTTGAGAGCGGAGCTGGAATACTCTCATCCCTGATCGGTGAAACGAGCGTCACCCAACGATGGCTCCGAGGAGAAATTTCGAATTTCCAGGTCAGTCCTGATAAAATTTCTGGCAGAGGAAATTTTGCTTCTCCTTTCTGGATCGATAATATTCGAGATCCGTGGGTCGGAAATTCCAACCTGATCTCGTGCTTGTCAATCCTTTTCCTAACCTCAAACGATCCGATTCATATCAAGTCCTGAAATCGGTGTCTTAGGCCCTTTTCTCTATGTTGACAGTATTTGATGCATCTCAACACGTTGGCCGGACGATCCTACAACGACCTGATGCAGTACCCGATCTTCCCGTGGATTCTTGCCGACTACGACTCTGAGACGCTGGATCTGACCGATCCGAAGAGTTTCCGTGACCTCTCGAGACCGATGGGCGCGCAAACCTCAGACCGACTGGAGCAGTTCTGCAAACGCTACAAGGAGTGGGATGATCCCGAAACACCGCCTTACCACTACGGCACGTTCTACTCCTCAGCGATGATCGTAGCTAGTTACCTTGTCCGCATGGAGCCCTTTACTCAACATTTCCTGAGGCTACAGGGCGGTCACTTTGATCTAGCCGACCGAATGTTCCACTGCATTAAAGGTAAGTCGTCCGAAGTGCCAATATGCCAATATGCGATGTCTCGACATTCGAGTTGGGAAGACTTTGCGTCTCCAGGAATTCTCTCTTAAGTGAGTCGCCTCGTTTCCAGATGCTTGGACATCGGCTTCGCGACACAATATGGCGGACGTCAAAGAACTGATCCCCGAATTCTTCTACCTCGACGAGTTTCTTCTCAACAAGAACCGTTTCGATCTCGGAGCGAAGCAAAGTGGTGTTCAGCTAGACAACGTGGTTCTGCCCGCGTGGGCAAAGGGCGACGCGCGCGAGTTTATTCGTCTGCATAGGCAGGCCTTGGAGAGTGATTACGTCTCTGCACACCTACACGAATGGATCGACCTGATATTTGGTTTTAGACAACAGGGCCCACCGGCCGTCGAAGCCGTAAACGTTTTCCACCATCTGTTCTACGAAGGCAACGTGGACATATATTCGATCGATGATCCACTCAAGAAGAACGCCACGATCGGCTTCATCAACAACTTTGGCCAAATTCCCAAACAGCTGTTCAAAAAACCCCATCCCGCGAAGAAAGTCGATCTGGGAACGCCCAAACCCTTATTTTATCACAAAATCGAATGTCTTCGACCTACAATGCACCCGGTCCGCGAACTCAAAGGACCAGTGGGTCAGATCGTACAGCAGGAGAGGTCCATATTGGCCGTCGAACAGAATAAAATGCTCCTGCCCCCCAATCAGAAATACGTTTCATGGGGCTTCGCCGATTATTCCCTGCGGATCTGCAGCTACGAGACCGAGAAATGCCTAATGGTATGGGAACAGGTTCCCAACGGGGAGATTCTCTGTGCGACGTGTCCGGATGCCAAGACGATCATCACGGCTGGAACGTCGTGTGTTCTCAACGTATGGACCGTCACCCCAAAAAAACTCGACCTCAGACATCAGCTCTACGGACATATCGAGCCCATCACCTGCGTCGCGTCCTCGAGACCCTTCAATCTCATAATATCCGGGTCTCGCGACGAGAGCTGCATACTCTGGGATCTATCTCGATTGGCCTTCGTTCGTCAAATCCCCACCGACTTCGGAGCACCCGTGGCGGCCGTTTGTATCAACGACGTTACAGGTACAGAATGCAGATCCCTCGTGTGTAGGGCGTATCCGGGTTATCCGGGATGAAGGTATTCGGACTTGTCGTTTTGCATCAGCACGTATCGAGCAGAAAACATTCTATGAGATTCGTACGTTTCGCATCCCCAGGCGACATCGCAGCCTGCGCCGCGACCCGTCTGTACGTGTACAACGTGAACGGAGTTCTTATAGCCAACGTGGACATGGCCGTGTCTATCGGACAGGCCAGGTCTCATCAGATACTTTGCGTCAGTTTCTCTCAGCTAAACGAATGGGACAAAGATAACGTTATTATCACCGGGTCGTCGGACGGCGTCGTGCGGATGTGGTCCCCATCAGTTGATTCTGAGGGAGCTTCGATCATCCTCCGTGGGAAGCTCACCATGCACACCGCATTCGAACGCCAGGTGAGATGGCGCGTTCCCAGAGCTCGACTCTCGGCGGCCGGTCGGAGAACGCCCGAATCGATTTTTCCTTGAAGGTGCCATTTTCGGCCGCATCTCCGGGGGTTCGCCTGCGAAGACGAGCTCGGCGGCGATGTTAAAATCGACTTGGTAATTCCAGGACAACAAGGAACCAGCGGCCGTGACCGCTATCGGTATTTCTCGAGATCATCGACACATCTACGTGGGCGACGCTCGAGGTCGCGTTTTCCAATGGAGTGTGTCAAGTGAGGCCGGATCCCGCAGCGATCACTGGGTTCGAGACGACGTCACCGAACAATGTACCAACCCGCAGTGTCAGGTCAGGTTCTCCTTGACGGAGAGGAGGCATCACTGCAGGTACTTTTTTTTGAAACCTCCGACGTTCTGAGAATCCATGATTTCAGGTCAATACGAAACGTTCCTTCGAGGGTATGGCTCTCACTGTACCCAAGACTTCTTTGTTCTCGGCGCTCGAAAGACCTGTTTTCGTTTGCAGGAATTGCGGACAGCTTTTTTGTGCCAAATGCAGCCGATTCGAAGCCCAAGTCAACCGGATCGATTCGGAAAGGAGCGTCCGAGTATGTCATTCATGCTTCCAGTCGCTATCCGTGGCAAGCAACTAGACGGAAATCTGGACCCAGAAGATGAAAGCGAAATCTCCCGCAGCACACTGTGAGCCATATCTCGGCGAGTCTTCGGATGAGTCCGCCCCCGTGAGAGATCAAGGAATCCGCTCTCACATGACCTACAGCATCATCCCATGTGTGTCAAAAGTCGATTTTAGCAACAGAATTAGTTTGTGACATTGCGCTCGGCCAGTTGAATTGTTTCCCACGAGTGCCACTTCGTTGATGTTCGGCATTTCGCTCTCAAACAACACTTGTTCGGCCTTCCTCATCATCTGTCTTCCCCCTTTCATCAACTCAACGTATATTGTGAACAACACCGTATTTCTGGTATTCTCTATACCTCCTTGGGTTCGAATAATGTCGAGCGAGAGACCTATTTTTTCCGTTCGTCAGCCCCAGCCCTCATTGCCTCAATCCCCAGCCTGGCGTCGATTGATTTCCGACTTTGTATTCAATTTCAATTTTCCAATCGATTATTTAGGCGAGTCGTTCTTTATTACCCGATTCAACTCTTGATAATTTACATGTACCATGTGATCAACCGCACGCTCGTATTACGAGTTCGCTTTAGAGTATCGGGTTCATATCTCATATTCCTCTACGGTCCGAAGCGCTCTCAGACACCTACATACCTCCCTTGGCTTTAACAATCGTTTTAGGATATTTTTGTGTTGATCTTATGTGAATTTTAAATCCTGACTTCCCCTTTGGGATCGCCGTATTTCATTCCGTTGTGAGACTGTATTGTATTCTTTTCAATGGTTTAGGATACCACGTTCCGCCTAGTAAGCTGATATAGCGAATGAGCTACGATTCGCCTCAGCCGGGAGCGAATCGAGCCGGATGCCATCGAGCGAGATAGTGATGTAAGAGGGCTCGATTACATTCACAGTCGTCTGCGTGTTAATTGTTATGAGTTTTATATTGGAGCGCAAGACTAGGTTCGCCCTGGGAACCTGGATGTTTCTTCTGTTGACGGGCGTACAAAGAAGTGAGCAACCCGATTCGGGTACTATACATATATAGGTCCGAGAAAAGCATTCTCACACCTGAATATTCTAATTGCCTGTCACCAGACCTTAGGGGAACGGAATCGGGTTTCATCGCTGTCCGATATGTGAAACATAAATCGAAATAGTCTGTGAGTGAATGTTACCTACCGTATGCATCGAACCAGACGGGCACACCCATATACACTTGCGTGGATTTCATGAGTGAAAAAAGTCGGATATCGATGGCGGGAGAGTGAAATAGTGAGGAAGATGACATGTAAAGCGTTGAAGTAGACCTTTAAACCGATCCGTCCGATTGCTAAAACCGCCGGCACTCGATGTGGATTACGATGACGGGAGCACGCGGTCTTCGCTTTCGGACTCTTAGAGAAGCAGGATCCAAAAAAAATCGTCTAGAAACTCAATACTATACAGGAGGATACTGAAGGAAGCGACAAAGACGAAAACGAATGAATATCACGATTAGATTCGGAGTCGCAGATCAATTCTACCAGCATGTTGACTTAGATGATAGTGAGACCGATATTGACAGCCTTAACACTAGGAAAGAAAAGTAACAATTTGGAGAATGACAAGAGGCGGCCAGGACATTATTCGAGACATACAGGTCAAATAAAGAGAATCCATGACAGGCAACCCGGTGCATCATCCTATATTTTGATTAAGAAGTCAGTACCAAGTTCCAACATGACTAAGAGGACAAGACTCCGCCTGATCGATGACACGTTCCTCCTTATCCTTGTGCAGCACTTCATCAATGATCAGTAGACCTATATGCGAGGACCTGTCCTCTCACTCCCGTTCGTCCGCTTTCCGCTTGTCGTAAGGGAAACGTCCGTTTCCAAAGATTTATCCGGCCAATCATGGATCTGAATGCTTTGTCTGTCGTGAACTCCGAGTGAGTTGCGAGTGATATGACTCGAATTAAGAGGGGAGCGTTCTTCCAGCACTTCGAGTACCAGTGCCCTTTTCATGAGCGGCTCTGCCCATCGTCAATCGAGAGAAGGCCAGCTGACCGCTGTAGAGTTCAGATCGAGGTTCGCTAATGCTCTCCCGTGTCATCGAATCGGGGGAAGCGGAATTTCCTGGGGGATTCGATGATGCGGAGGGCTCGAGCGATAGGCTCGTTCGGAATAGAACAAATTGAACTAGGAGCCATCGCGTCTCAAGCATCGACAGGAGAAAACCATGCATCACAGGGGGGTGCATGGACGCGAATTCCATGAGGACTGTTTTAACTTCTCATTCGATATTAAATAGCTTGACGGGGACTTCCCCCATGCTACGTGCCCGATATCACGCCTGACCTACCATTACGGTATTACGGGAGGAAAGTCGGAGCTCCTTCCGAATTGCGCTGATTCAAGCTACGTCTACGCTCTGCTCTCTACCGGCCAAACGGAATCACGTTCTCTCTCGTCTCATCTTGGAGCAGGCCACAGTAATGCGCCCGTTCTCAAGTCGACCGCCCGCGCGAAAAACTTCGAGGGTATGATTCCCCTCTCATCTCCTTTAGACACGATCACATCATTCGTTGCGTTTAGATAAAAAAATTCGATACCCTTTGCCATTGCTTCCCGCACATCTATAGAGATCCCTACAGCGAATCCGGTGAATCCATGATCACCGCTAAGCCCCGCTGCCTTGAAACGTATGAAGTCTCCTTTTTTCCGAACGAGACCTGCCTTCTTGACACGCTTCCATTCAGTCATTGTCACGCCGGTTAGGAGTATCCTATTCGGAGACTCGGGAGAAACCAAGCGGAGTGCACTAGTGTCCCCTCCGAGCGGCCAGAGTGTCTCGTTTGTTCTGATATTAACTACATGTTGGAAATACTCCGGAGGGATCAGACCTTTTTCGTTGCCAGGCGAAAGTATGACATTGTTCTGCGACCGGTAGAAGCGTATTCCGTCTAGTATCGCTCTGCGAAGATTCACGACGATCAGAACGCTTGCTGCCTTTCTGAATCCAGGCACCGTGCAATCGGAAGCGGTCGCCCTGCCTTGTATAAAATGGATGTGATTCCGCTTCATTCGACTGAGTCCCTCTTCCCGGATAGTCAACCACGCGCTCGCAGTTGTACCATGCGTGACTTCGGAGAGGCCGGCCTCCGGAACGACAATCTCGAGCAAGGTCCCGTCCTCGACAACTGGAAACGTGTGACCTTGATTTGCTCGGATTTTCATGCGACCGGTCGCTGGATCTTTGCGAATAGCGTAACGTTGTTTCTTGTCTTGGAAGACAACTCTCTCTATATCCTCCTCGGTGCATTGATGATTGAAGTATCGCAAAACTTCAGAGGCGTCTACGAATCCTGCAAATGAAAGGTTAATCTCCGTATGAGGCGCACAGTTCACGAAGGAGGGTTCAGTTGAAATTCCTCAGCAATGCAAACACATGAAATCAGGAGGCACGCGACCCGCCGGAGTCGTCTACCTACCGCCGGGCTCTACCTCGATTCTCGCTCTGGGAGCTCCGTGCCGCAAAAGATAACTCAGTGCTTTAGAGAACCTTTCGTCGTTCGAGAACCCTCGGGGTTTCGAGGTATTCGCCGCGAGCTGATGCTGAGCGATTTTGTGACCGTTGAAATCAGAGCTGTAATTGTTCACGAAGGAGGCGCACATATCGCACTCTGTCGCTATCCTCGATGATTTCTTTGTAGAATCTGATGGCCGAGTCGAATCACCCTCTGGTAGGTTGTCCCGGAACGGGGTGCTGATTTCTGATACCACGAGTGATCCTATCCTGTAAACGATTATCTGAATGAGGGCCCTTCTAGGATCCACCGCACCGGAACTGAATTACCCTCTGTCAGAGAGGGTAAACTCCCTCCCTGAAGCAGCAGCGTGAGCGTGAGTCGAGATTGGCGGCTGATTTCGGGGACTGGCCCTGGTTGCAGCGGCGTAGCTTGCTCCTGTGTTGCCCGGGGCGGATTCCTCGAATCCCGGACCGTAAGCGCGTCTTGATGCCCTCGATTTTTTATTTCGGAAAATTTCCCGAATCTTCCATCCCCCTTACGACACACCGATTGAAGTCAAGATGAACCTCCAGTGAATAAGACTTGACCTTGAGAGAAGATTCAGCTCTTTGGCACTCCCATTGGGCAGTCTGATTGCCCCGGAGCCTCAATGCCCGGGACAGACCGCCCCTCCTCGCCACGCGACTGCCTGCCTGGTGCACCTTTTTTGATACCTGGCAGCTCGGCCAAAATCCTGCAAGGAATCTGGAGAGACTGCTCTGCGGTACCGACTGAGGCGTTCGATCCGACATGCTCGAGAAATTCCTCGTCGACTTGAGATTCCTCAAGTGCTCTCTGTACGTCTCGGCGTGGATCAACTTCGATAGCAAAGTTACATTGATGAAGAAATGGCGAGGCGTTACGCGACAGATTGATCGACTGACTGATAGATTAATAGACAGATTGATGGCCGTCTCCTCATCGGGGAGCCAGAGCGGCGCGAGAACGAGCCTAGCCGGTTATCCGCGAGGATAGAATTCGTCCAAGAAGCCTAAAAAGCGAGTGCCGTCGCGTCGATAGAAGCGTGAAATTAGTTAATGACTCCGATTAGAGTCTGGGTTCGCAGTCGCTTCGGGTCTCGATTCATCATTTTCGGGCCAAGAGGGTTCGACCGATGATACTTTCTCTCAGATTACTTAGATTTAGATGATTACGTAGACACAATAATTACTTTCTGATATATTTGTTCACTTGGAGGGCTGGAACTCATTTCGATGGGGAGGCATCACTGATCTAGAGGTCGGCGAAGCGGTACACGAACATATTTTTCCACTTGAGTTTTCGCCTTGAGTTCTGTGAGCAATTATTATGGGGGATTCGCCACTCAGGACCTCTCCTTTGAGTTTCCCGAGCCGGGAGGAGCCTTTTCTCGGGAGTTCTGGGTATAACTCTGAAGTCAGCCGAGCCCGGAATCTGATCCATTCCAACGAGTGCGGGGGGAGGGTCCCTCGATGTTGGCTCGAGCGATAGGTTGGAGGACTCATGTTTCGAGGAACTCCATATACAGATTATATCATCGTCCAGGACCCATCTATACCGTGGGCTCGATATGAGATTGATGGGAAGCCTTGCGTCGATGCGAATAAATCAAGCCATATGGAGAGAGTACCTTCCTTTTCAAACATCTCTGAGGGGCGCTAATTGGGCTTGGGCTGATTCCGCAAGTTAGAGCACGCGTGGCCAACATCCTCTCCGTCGAGCCTCCCCATGTTGAGGTTTGATTTATTGAGCTCCGTCCATCGAAAGCTCAATCGCTGTCCGAACTTTTTCAATCGACGCACAACAAGAGCATCCCGAGACGAACTGCCCTACTCGTTTCGGAATTCCCGATCGAGATGGCGTTTTTGTACCAAAAAGAAAGAAATGGCCGATTCCATGTAGCGCAGCCGTTCTTCCACGAGACTGCAACGTGAGTATCTTCATCGCTCCAGGTGATCGTGATATTGTCGTCCACCTGCTTTGGAAGCTAGAAGAACCCTATGAAAAACTCGATATTCCTCACAGCTACGTTCCCGAGACGGAGGTGCCCCTCAGGATGAGGATGTTGAGGACTACATTGCTGGAGAGCAGAGATGAGCTACAGGTTCAAAGGACAGACTCGAATTCTCCGCTGTATTCTGTCAAAACATTTGAAGAGCTCGCGCTTCGTGAAGAACTGCTCAAAGCGATCTACAAGATGGGCTTCCACAGACCGTCTAAGATACAGGAAACTGCTTTGCCAACCCTCATGGCCAACCCTGCGACCAACATGATCGCTCAGTCACAATCAGGAACTGGCAAGACAGCAACTTTTCTTCTCGCTTCCCTCAGTCGGCTGGACGAGACCCTCGATCACCCGCAAGTTCTGATTCTGAGCCCAACCTTCGAGCTCGCGAGACAAACTGCCGCTATCGCACAACAAATGACACAATTTTGCCCGGGAATCGGGGTCAGGTTCGCGATCAGAGGACAGGTAACGTCGATCATTCGATGAGTGAATTTCTCCTGATTGAATCCTGATCATCGCCCGCTTGAGCTACGAGTGAATTCGGGATTACTCGAGGATCGATGAGCGTCCTAGTTCCCGTCAGATCAAGAATCGGCGACAAAACGAATTTTTCCCATCTTCGCAGACGCTGCTCCCCGGGACGAAGATTCAGGAACAAATAGTCATCGGTACCCCCGGGAAGATCCTCGATTGGGCTCTGAAGTTTCGTTTCTTCGACATCTCGAAGATCAAGGTATTGTAACGAAAACCGAGTCCCCCACTGGGTATCGTCGGCGATTGTGAATTACGCCGGCACCGGATAATGAATGGAAAGTTTCGATATTTTCCGTACCGCGATTGGGGTTGTGCTCGACCACGCTCAATTTGATAAAATAATGGAATTCTTCCAGGTCTTCGTGCTCGACGAGGCCGACGTGATGCTCGCGGGAGGTGGCCATCACGACCTGAGTATTAGAATTCATCGGCAGCTTCCTGCCGACTGTCAGATGATGCTATTTTCATCGACTTATGACGAAGAAGTCGTTGAATTCGCGAATTTGATGGTACCAGAGCCCTGTATCAAGGTTTGTGTCTGATCTTCAATCCCCGCCGGAATGGCGGCGACTCTCTCTTTAGCACCACTTTCCCCGGGTCGCGAAAGTCCGGTGGACGGTCACTATGTATGTCTTCACGACCCTGCCTCCAATTATTGTGCTTAATACGCGTCTCTTCAGATCACATTGAAGCGCGAAGAACAGTCACGAGGGAACATCGAACAGTACGTCATGCACTGCCCAGATGTCGAGAGTAAGATTCGCGCTCTCGTGAACATCTACAGCTCCTTGTCGGTTGGGCAGGCTGTTATTTTCTGCCACACGAAACCAGGAGCTGCACAAATTGCCAGGACCATGATGGTGAATGACAATACCGAGTTATGTAATCATGACATGGAATTTTATGTCTTCAAACAACCAATCTAACGTGAATGCTCTTCCAGCTGATCGGACAGAGGGCCGCGATCCTGACTGGGGACCTCGAAATCGACGAGAGAATTCGTGTTCTCGGACGATTTCGAGACGGTCTCGATAAGGTCTTAGTGACCACCAACGTGTGCGCGAGAGGTATCGATATCCAGCAGGTGAGCGCTATGTCTCCCGCCAGATTCCCTGCTCAGGGATAGGGCATTTGATTCAATCGCTCCTCATACGCACCCACCGACGGATATTATGTACCGAATGATGCAATCACGTGGACTTAATCGCCACTCCGGATGGCCATTTTCTCCTTAAAATCCTGTTATAATGTGCTACTAAACGAATCTTATTATCATTGCAGGTCTCGCTGGTCATCAACTTCGATCTCCCGGTCGATTACAGGGGCGAACCCGACTTCGAGACGTACTTGCACCGGATAGGGCGCACTGGACGTTTCGGGAAGACTGGCGTGGCGATCAATTTCGTCGATCCCAACTGCAGTCGGGATCTGCTCAACATCGACAAGATACAAGAGCACTTCAAACGGAACATAAAGTTCCTCGATTTCGAGGACTTTGAGCTCTTGGAAAAAATCGGACGGCAGTATTGATAGATCGTTATCTTTGCTACCCTGTCTGTATCGGGTGACGAAGGACCACGCTCCGACTTCGGTTTGATGCGAGGCCTCCTACGATGATGCCCTAGCAGTCCACAGGGAACGGCTTGGAGTTCGAACTCTCGTAAATAAATTGGTGCCTCCTTCCACTGAAGCTTTCTTCGAGACTTCCTCATTGATTCGGCAGTCGAGTAGATCAGTCGGACTAATGAGCGGCCGGGCTCATGAATGAGCCTTGATCTCCCACGCAGGGAGTAAGATGCGTCATCCGCGGAATGGACAATGAGTCTAATCCGTAAGGATGTCTTGATACATCAATCATAAACCGGAATGGCAGAGTAAGCAGAACGGTGGGTTCCGGGACGAAATCCCTGATGGAGGAACAAGAGTTTTGCGATGAGGATAGCCCGAGATTCAGCGCGTCGGATCGGCGCGTCGCTGCATCCAGGGCGGTGATATGCTGATGAGCTTGCAACGAAGGTGGCATGACCACCGTAAGCGATATCGAATCTTACACGCAGACTCCGAACCAGTGTCTTACGTCTAGAGCTCACTGCACAAGGCACATCCCGATGTGGGATTGATTGGCACATCCGATTGACGGATAGATTCTCATGGTGATGGTTTTCATCCAGTCGGGATAGAGTATGCGCCTGCCCAAAACGCAGCGGAATCCATATCCCGGACATGATTCTCTCAGAGCATGCTACAATGATTCCTCTTGCTTACGTTTCTGAGACGGATTCCTCGTTGACCATCTTCTCGCTCAATTCTTAGCACTTCCCACTATTTACGGAAGGACTCAGAAACTGTCTGATCGCTTAGCCGGTAGCTGCCCCGATCCAAGAATGAGACTCGGGATATTAACGTTGGCATGCATCATCGGGTGTCATGGAGTTCAGTTCGCCATTCCCGATATCGATCTGGAGATAGCCGCTATCCGCAGGAACGACTATGTAAGTTTCACCCAATGGTAGGAATTATTGTGGCACGATTGATCCATTCCGGATCAATCGTGTTGGACGGAATGACATCACGTTGATTCCGCCCACAGGTGGCCTACGCTTCACTGCATGGCATGGATCTGACTTTCCACGACGTTGTGACCCCCGATGGTTGGATACTCCAACTGTGGAGGGTCACGAGCCCGGAAATTTATGACGAGAAACGTTCTGCTCCTGTAATCGTCTCGCATGCGTTCATGGCATCGGCGTTCGATTACATGTGGAATCTCCGGAACGAGAGCACTGCTTTCGTCCTGGCTGACAACGGGTACGATGTCTGGCTGACGAATTATCGAGCAAACGAGTTCAGTAACGCAGTCTTGGTTGATGGAAATCGCACTGAACCGACACCAGAGGATTATCTTCGGAGCGGGTGAGTGCAGTTCCAGGTCATCAATCGGATTCCAAAACAAGTCCAGGAGACCGAAGGGAGGCCTACTCCTTAGTCGCTCGAGAGGACTCCTTGGCGGGGAAAGGCCCCGCGATCTGGACCCTCTGCGCGAGATTGAGATTCCGCCATCTCCGGTTTCGAGAACAGCTCTTTCCGTTGAGGGATTGGGCCTCGTGCCGTCCGGCGACGCCCTCGCCCCCATCTCAAGGAAGAGCCCAAAAGCAGGACCGAGGCCAGAGAGCTCGTCCTCCTCGAAGGCAGGAACGCTCTCGATTGCGCTGCTACGCTCGGTGAAGCAGTCTATGAGCAGGCTCGATCTTGTTCCAGGTGGCAGTATATGGCCGAGCGAGACTTGCCAACAATTATCGAGAAAGTTCTCGAGGTGACGCAGCAATCGAAATTTTATCTCATCGGTCATTCAATGGGATGTACGATAACCTTCGCATACCTGTCTCAGGATCACTCCTATGATGACAAGGTAGGGGCGATGCTCTCAATCTCTCATGTATCCTACGTGAAATCTATACAATCGCAGAGATCATGCAGGCACGAATAGGCCCAGAATCGGATACCGCGCTCATTTGAATTCTGTACTGCATTGCCCCATCCGATCCGTCAGGATGGGAGCCTTGATCGGAGTGAGACTTGAGAAAGATCATGGTTCGGATTGCTCCTGTGCTCAAAGTTCATTCATTCCTAGCTCTCTCACTTCGCCGCAGTTGTACCGGTCCTGAGATTCGGGAACGACACTTCTTGGCTAATGAGAGCATTGCTCTCTTCGTTTCCCACCTTCGTAAGGGCTCTGCCTCAAGTGAGTTATTGTTCAAAGAGCGTCGAAACTTCTGTTTATGGGTAAACGACTAGAGACTCTAGCATCTGACACGCAAATTGGCCGACGGTGAATTGACGTCACGATGACTTTATTCGTATGGATCAGCCGGTGTTCAAATTTCTGCTCGGGAGGCAGCTGGCTGCAACAACTGGCAGCGCATGGAAGGACTTCCTGGGATACCTCTTGTCAAGTCTCTGCTACAATTTACCGTCAGCTTGTTTCTTCACCAGGAGCCCCCATATGAATCAGGTTCGTTGACCGAGTATAGAATGGACTTACAATATTGAGCTCTATTCCGCACGGCGCCGCCTAATATTACGACGCTTGACTCTGGAAGACTTTGGTGTGATTCGACGATACCACTCGAACATTCTGGAAAACTGATTGTTCCAGTAAATAGATGACCGAGAACGCATTCTCTTTCCCTGCTTCCGCAGCAGCGAAACGCGTCTTGCGGTCGAATGCCGCAACGAAAGCTCGGGTCTTCGGGTTTTCATAGCTAGCTTTCGTAGATTCCACGAAATCCACGTATTTCTGCTGTATGCCTTGGTGGAGGGTCGCTTGGTCTCGAACAGAGTCGATCCTCCTGAGACTCGAACTTCGCTTCGTGCTTCTGCTCTCTTAGGTAGACGAGACAGAACGTCTGCGTGTCCCATGCTGTTCCCCAGTCTTTGAACGATACCGAACTCCAGTTTCGTGAATCTGTGCACCGAACGAATTGCTCCGCCTTCTGGCTCCTTGACGGCGATCACCTTTTTCAGCGCGCGGTGATCTGCATTGAGGAAAAACTTACGGCCGTCTATATAGGTCCCGAGGAAATCCACTGCTTTGAGCGAGGCAAGCTTTCCCTTCTCACACGCAGTGGAGTCCCTCCCCTGTTCCGAGGGCGTGCATGAGCGGTAGCCCGCGACGCTTTCTCTTCCCTCCTCATTTTCCTGAGACAAGACCACCCCCGGGCCAAGGTTTGAGGCATCTGTACTTCATATGAGAGGTTCGGAGAATTGTTCAAGTGTGATCGAAGGATGATTGAATGGATGATTACCGAATGATGATTGGTATGTACCAACAAGCTTAGGATCATGATGGGTATTCTCAAGCCGAGAATAATGATTGACTTCACAGACTCGTATCGGTATCTTCCTCAACAAAACACCCGCGGGTTTCTCTCTCATCACGAACTATAACTTCGGTGTGGAGCTCAATAGAGATCATTGGGCTAAGATTGACTTTCGTGAGATCCCACAAAGCGGATTAACCAATGAGGCAGAGTACAACCAGGTTCGTATTACTTACAATGGAGGCTCACGCTCCCGTCCGGCAAGCGGGGATCCAATCCTGGAATGTTCCTGTCTAAAGTTCTCCCGGTTTCCAGAGCGAGCCGACGGAATACGACTTCGCGGCATTGAGAGTCCCCTACTCGCTTTATTTTGTCGACAACGATCATTTCAACGGATTACAGACGGCGCTGGATACGATTCAGAGGTTGAATGCCACGGATTACACATTCATCAAAGGAAATCTGAGTCACGAAGACGCTGTCATGGGCTTCGACACCCCTTGTTACACAATCAACGCAATCCTCGAGAGATTCGAAGCTCTGGAGAAGCAGAGAGACGACGATCACGAAAAGTATCGCGAGAAGGTCTCGAAGTTCGTCGACTCGCTCCCCTTCGAAGATGGCTGTCCCGAGTGAAGGAGCCGTATTAAGGAACGAGAATCGCAATACCAATGAACGATTCCAAACGATTCATCAATACATAGGTCATGCTTTCCTGAGTCAGGATTCAGAGGGCGAAATACGGTGGGGTTCTTCACTGGTATCGACTCTCTTGCAGAGATCGCCGCTTATCGCTATGTCTGATTGCGAGCCCAGAGTGATCCAAACGAAATTCATTCAGTGTCTCCTGTGACCTCTTTTGACCTCGCTTGGTCTGTTGAATTCCCCGGAACGATGCCACTCGTTTGAGGGAATAATTGTGGGAATGACCCTCAGATGGGGAGCCCACAGAATGATTAGGATTCATCCTCCTGGAAACATCTGCATATTTAGATTTTGATTTCCATCGACTCCGAGCTCATGCACGAATTTGCCGAGCGTGAAATCCGGAGTCTATTTCCTCCTTCCGATCTTCTAACACATTCTGATCGTCGGGAAGTGCGAAGTGCGGATGCCGTGAGGAGCGCAGTCTTGCTCGGCCGGGTCAGACCCCGCTGAAAGCATCAATGCTTCCGGATATCGTATGCTAGAATCCTCATACTCAATCCGGAACATACAAATCTCGGTAAGGCTCTCGATGCGAAAGAACTCAGCAAGTCGAGATCGCGCTCCGAAGGAACTCAGCAAGTCGAGATCGCGCTCCGAAGGAACTCCAAGTCTAATGATCGAGAACAAAGAGAAGATAACGAATAAAGAGATCTCGTGGAAAAGAGACGAACGCATCCTAATTCTTGGAGATGATGATCTATTGGGTAATGGCCCGGGCAGGCACACTTCCCAAACCAAATCCTAGGTCTGGTTCCCCCGGCCCTCGCTGAGATCCGTACCATTGACAATATCAATCTGACTGAGCCTGCTAACTCTTTTTTCTCGGACGCGCCGCATTTCCATCGGAGCTGATTGCAGAATCAAACGCGGAATCTCCTGCACCGCGCCTTCCCTGTCACGATTCACAATCAGTTTGTCTCGAATGCAGTATGCGATATTTCGCGCCTCCCGGGACCGAGATCCAAATCAGTCGTGAGTCATCGGTAAAACAAGCTCGTCCCTCAGCCCTAATTGATGCTACATCTAGCCAGCAGTGG